CAAGCTTTATGAGGAGCTGGGTATGTTTAGTTGGAGAGGAGGAGACAGAGAGGAGATAGGAGAGCAATGTCACCTGGGGGGAGGATTCCAACCAATGGCTTCAAGCTACAAGAAAGGAGATTCGGACTCAACACACCTAGTCATTTTTCACGAGGCACCAATGACTCCCTTGTCAATCAGTTCTGACTTCATGCATAGACTGGAAGGAAGGAGCAACCAGGCTGAGTCCCCTCCATTAATCTCTTCGCTTGCTCCACATTTCCACAATCTCCCTTCTAGAGGCCTACATCTCCTCCTCCTCCTCCTTTATAGAAAGATAGCTCAGAGTCTTGGCTGTGGTGCAGTCCTTCCCTGGTTCCCTCCAAGACTCATCCATGCTTGCTCAGGGAACCTTTTTCTTCTCCTGATATTGTACAACTTTCGTAACAGAACAATGTATTTTCTTTGTAAGATTTCCTAAAGCTTTTCACTACGACAGACAGAACTTGGCAGAAGACCAAAGGGTTCCTTCCGATCTCTCAGAGGCTTCCTGACAGCACAGATGGATGAGCGAGACACAGCTGGCCCTAGAGCAGGAAGAGGCCATGCCATCCAAACTGGTAGCAGTGGAGGATTCTGGGAAAACTCTGTGCAGAAGATCCTGGGTGAGGAGGACACCCTCCGCTCAGAGGTGCAGAGCCAGCAGTTGAGGCAGTTCTGCTTCCAGGAGGCCGAAGGACCCCGAGAGGTTTGCAGCCGACTCTACCACCTTGACCGTCAGTGGCTGAAACCAGAAAGGCACACGAAAGCTGAGATGCTGGACCTGGTGATCTTGGAGCAGTTCCTGGCTGTCCTTCCACCGGACATGGAGAGCTGGGTGAGGAACTGTGGAGCAGAGACCAGTTCCCAGGCGGTGGCCCTGGCCGAAAGTTTCCTCCTGAGTCAGGCAGAGGAGAGGAAGCAGGCAGAGAGAAAGCAGGTGAGAGGGACTTTCCTCTGGATACTCCCAAGGGGCTCCAAACAGGATGGAGAACATCCAAAAATGGTCTGCTGATGGCCCATCCTTTTTCGGGGAATGAGATCTAACATCCTTAAAGTATCTGTCTGTGTCGTTCTCTTTCTAATATTTCTCACCTTTCATTTACTGTTTTGAATTCATATTGTTCTTTCAGAAAAGGGATCATTTTGCAGAAATGGACCTGGATTCCTGTGAGGCAGAGAGGCCTCCGTTGGACACCAGAGAGAGGCCACTGGGTAAGGAGGAAGGTGGTTTTTCTTTGTTTGGTCTCATTCTGTTGGTTTTCAAACTCGTCTGAGGGTTCTTTTCATCTTGGGTTTTGTTTTTGTTTTTTGAGGGGTGGGGGTTGGAACAAGGGTTCAGAGGAGGGGAGACGTATTTCTGCACACCTAACATGAAATGGGCACAAACCTGCAACTGCACTCAGCAAGAAAAGCTTTCTCAAAGCCCATCTGTAGTTAGAGATGTCCTGTTTCATCTGTGAGAGAAGCAGGCACTCCTAGCATCCTGCTTACCTTTTTTTCTCTTGCAGGTGGCAGAATGATGCCGGCAAGACCTCCTGATCCCCCTTTTCATGGGGAAAGAAGGGAAGCAGCGGCTGTGGAACCAGATCAGGTAAGGGGAAGCTGCCTTGTGGGGACAGAGGCCGAGGGATGGAGCAATGTCATGGACTGGTTGGGCACAGAGGAATGGTGGGAGGAAGCAGCCAGGGAACCAGGAAGGGAATATTGCTCTGAGCCCAAGGAGTGAAGGTGGAGGAAGGATTGGCGGTCAGAGGGAGAAGCCTGGGAAGAGGAGGTGTCAGAAGCTGAAGGGGCAACAGGGCTTAGTGAGCTGGGAGACTCTGTGGCAGAATGCAGTGCAGAATCAGAGGCAGAAATGGAAGGAGGCGAGTGGGAGAGGAAGATTGAGAGGCAGAGGTGAGTCAGGAGAAGGGGGAGCCACCGGGTGCTCCCTCTCCTTCTGCCAGAATCCACCCTCCCTGCTTGTCTCTCAGAGCCAAGAGAGGTCTAACATGGAGGAGTAAAGGCAGGCTGCACACTGGCACACTGTTCAATTGCTTGCCAGAAACCCCAGAGAGGAGGGGACTTGGAAAGCTGTGGGGAGCCGGGGTCTTCATTCTCAGCAACTGCTTTTGTGGAGGAAGAGGCTCAGGGAATGAGCTGCTGTTCTCAAGAGGCCCGAAACTCAGCCAAGTCTGTGAATCATAGAATCATAGAGTTGGAATAGACCACAAGGGCCATCGAGTCCAACCCCCTGCCAAGCAGGAAACACCATCAGAGCACTCCTGACATATGGTTGTCAAGCCTCTGCTTAAAGAGCTCCAAAGAAGGAGACTCCACCACACTCCTTGGCAGCAAATTCCACTGTCGAACAGCTCTTACTGTCAGGAAGTTCTTCCTAATGTTTAGGTGGAATCTTCTTTCTTGCAGTTTGGATCCATTGCTCCCTGTCCGCTTCTCTGGAGCAGCAGAAAACAACCTTTCTCCCTCCTCTATGTGACATCCTTTTATATATTTGAACATGGCTATCATATCACCCCTTAACCTCCTCTTCTCCAGGCTAAACATGCCCAGCTCCCTTAGCCGTTCCTCATAAGGCATCGTTTCCAGGCCTTTGACCATTTTGGTTGCCCTCCTCTGGACACGTTCCAGTTTGTCAGTGTCCTTCTTGAACTGTGGTGCCCAGAACTGGACACAGTACTCCAGGTGAGGTCTGATCAGAGCAGAATACAGTGGCACTATTACTTCCCTTGATCTAGATGCTATACTCCTATTGATGCAGCCCAGAGTTGCATTGGCTTTTTTTAGCTGCCGCGTCACACTGTTGGCTCATGTCAAGTTTGTGGTCAACCAAGACTCCTAGATCCTTTTCACATGTACTGCTCTCAAGCCAGGTGTCCCCCATCTTGTATTTGTGCCTCTCATTTTTTTTGCCCAAGTGCAATACTTTACATTTCTCCCTGTTAAAATTCATCTTGTTTGTTTTGGCCCAGTTCTCTAATCTGTCAAGGTCGTTTTGAAGTGTGATCCTGTCCTCTGGGGTGTTAGCCACCCCTCCCAGTTTGGTGTCATCTGCAAATTTGATCAGGATGCCCTTGAGTCCATCATCCAAGTCGTTGATAAAGATGTTGAATAAGACCGGGCCCAAGACAGAACCCTGTGGCACTCCACTAGTCACTCTTCTCCAGGATGAAGAGGAACCATTGATGAGCACCCTTTGGGTTCGGTCAGTCAGCCAGTTACAAATCCACTGAGTGATAGCATAGTCAAGACCACATTTTACCAGCTTCTTTACAAGAATATCATGGGGCACCTTGTCAAATGCCTTGCTGAAATCAAGGTAGGTTACATCCACTGCGTTCCCTTCATCTACCAGGCTTGTAATTCTGTCAAAAAACGAGATCAGGTTAGTCTGACATGACTTATTTTTCAGAAATCCATGCTGACTATTGGTGATCACAGCATTCCTTTCTAGGTGCTCACAGACTGTTTGCTTAATGATCTGCTCCAGAATCTTCCCTGGTATTGATGTCAGACTGACTGGGCGGTAATTATTTGGGTCCTCTCTTTTTCCCCTTTTTGAAAATAGGGACAACATTTGCCCTCCTCCGGTCTGCTGGGACTTCGCCTGTTCTCCAGGAATTCTCAAAGATGACTGCCAGTGGTTCTGAGATCACATCTGCCAGTTCTTTTAATACTCTTGGATGCAGTTCATCTGGCCCTGGAGACTTGAATACATCTAAACTAGCCAAGTATTCTTGTACTATCTCCTTAGTTATTCTGGGCTGTGTTTCCTCTGCTGAATCATTTGCTCCAAATTCTTCAGGTCGGGCATTGTTTTCTTTATCGGAGAAGACTGAGGCAAAGAAGGCATTGAGGAGTTCAGCCCTTTCTGTGTCCCCTGTTGCATTTCACCATCTTCTCCTCTGAGTGACCCCACTGTTTCTTTGTTCTTCCTTTCGCTACGAACATACCCATAAAAGCCCTTTTTGTTGCTTTTAACCTCTCTAGCAAGCCTGAGTTCATTCTGTGCTTTAGCTTTTCTGACTTTGTGTCTACACGTGCTGGCTATTTGTTTGAATTCCTCTTTGGTGGTTTCCCCTTTTCCATTTTTTGTACACATCCTTTTTAATCTTAACTCAGTTAAAAGTTCTTTAGATAGCCACCCTGGCTTCTTTAGGCACCTTCCATGTTTCTGTCTCATTGGTATTGCCTGAAGTTGTGCTTTTACTATCTCCCTCTTAACAAACTCCCAGCCATCATGAACTCCCTTTCCTTTTAGTATTACTGTCCATGGGATCTCACCCAGCACTTCCCTAAGTTTTATGAAGTCAGCTTTCTTAAAGTCAAGAAATTGAGTCCTAGTATGCTTGGCTACTCCTTTCCGCTGTATAGTAAACTTCAGAAGAGCATGATCACTCGCGCCTAATGATCCTTCCACTTCAACCCCACTAACCAGGTCATCAACATTGGTTAGGACCAGATCTAAAATGGCTGTTCCTCTTGTTGCTTCTCCCACTTTCTGGACAATGAAGTTGTCTGCAAGGCCAGTGAGGAATCTGTTTGACCTTATGCTCTTGGCTGAACACCGTGCTCTTGCTGATAAAGAGTGAACTCCAGCTGTGAACTGTGGGATTTCCTGCGCAGATAACTCTGTGACTCCAGCCTTCTGAATGTTGCCAGTAGGATTCATCTGTAGTTGCTGTTTTCATGGAATCCTAGAGTTGAAAGGGACCCCAAAGGGTCATCAAGTCCAAACCCCTTCACTACAGGAAACTCAGCTAGATCATCCAAGACAGATGCCATCCAGACTAAGCTTCTTTTATTTCTATATTCATCACTGAATGCTAAAATAGGCTTCTAAGCAGTGGAAAGACGAGAACAAATAATGTCCAGGATTCACCTAGCCAGCCCCATCCGCTGAAAAATGGAGCCTGCCCCCCACTCCTCCCCCTCTCCATGCCCCCATGAACCCCTTGAATTCGGCTCTAGGGCATTGTGAGGGAACCTCCCAGAACAACTCACGAGGAGAGGAGGAAGTGGATCCTTCCATCGGGGAAACTGGAATGCTTGCGTAGGCAGAATAACGTAAACATAAGCTGGAGTACCACCTATTTGCACAAAGACGAATACCCACACTTAAAATGCAGAATAAAAGATTCAATTAAAGCGTTAAAATAGGTACACATAATAAAAATGTGCAGCAAAGCAATCCTATTGAAATAACACAGAAATTAAAAGGAATGAAATAACAGAGCATTGTGTAGCAGATCATATTTCTGCTGTCTCAGAGGAGGACATTTCCCTTTTTCTTTTAGGGTCCAGTGTGCTTTGAAGATGTCGCTGTTCGTTTCACGGACGAGGAGTGGGAGTTGCTGGATCCTGACCAGAGAGCTCTGCATAAGGACGTAATGGAGGAGAATTGGGGGATCGTGGCCTCTCTTGGTAAGCCTCCGTGTGGGACCGTGTGAGATCGTCCTATCTGCCAGGAAATTCAAAAAATACCTCTATGTGACAAACCTCATATATTTTCTCAGCGCCCCCTACGACACCTGGGAACCTTACACCCCCACAAGAAATAGTAAATTACAGTTTTTTCTGTGAACAATCTTCCTCCAGTTCTGCCTCCTTCTACCACAGTTGGGCTGATCTGAACTGCCCAGGCATCTTAAATGTCAGCTTCAGAGTTGTTAGGAAAGATAAGTAGCTTCTGTCAGGTTTTCTGTTTTTCTTTTTGCTGCTGTCAGTCTTGGGTAGACCAAAGAGACGACTGACACTGGAGATGGAGGGGATGCCATGACTGGGCCAAAAAACATCTGCCCCAGAGAAGAGCCAAGCTGATTGAATCTCAGGTAGTACTAGCAGTGATAATAATAGTAATAATAATAAGTTTTATGTATACCCTGACCATCTGGTGGGGTTGCCCCAGCAAATCTGGGAAGCTTCCAACACATATACAGTCGTATTTCTGGTTGCGAATGGGATCCGTTCCGGAGATCCGGCCAGATCCCGAGGTTTTCGCAACCCAAGGATCACTGCGCATGGATTTGTCGCTTTCATAAGCTGATGTTTATATAATCCGAGGGTTACGTAACCCGAGGTGCTACTGTATAAACATGAAACAGTAATAATAACAACAATATAATCCAATGAAAAAAGTACAAAAATTTTACAAAAAGTACAAAATTTATAAAATGAGTAACTTACTTCAAACAAAGCAACATTCAACCAAAGATTAGAATCCAATAATAAATACATTGGTTTATTACAAATAACAAAGCTAATGAACACTGCCTTCTCTACCACAAATTTAATGAGCATTATTCCCTAACTGGGGGCTCCATTTGTTCCTGAGACTCTAATCCCTTTTTCTCTCCATTGCAGATTGTGATGAATTTGAAATCAAGAACAAAGGTGACCACAACACAATCTGCAGAGTGGAGAAGGCACGTAAAAATTTGGAATGTGGAAAGAGCTGCAGTCAGAGCTCCCATTCCAGTTCCCATCAACGAAATCTCATTGGAAAGAAACCCTATCAGTGCATTGAATGTGGAAAGAGCTTCAGTCAGAGCTTCTCTCTCACTTCCCATCAAAGAATTCATACAGGGGAGAAACCCTATCAGTGTGTGGAATGTGGAAAGAGCTTCAGTAGCAGCTCCAATCTCACAAAACATCAAAGAATTCATACAGGGGAGAAACCCTATCAGTGTGTGGAATGTGGAAAGAGCTTCAGTCACAGCCAAAGTCTCACTTCCCATCACAGAATTCATACTGGGGAGAAACCGTATCAGTGTGTGGAATGTGGAAAGAGCTTCAGTAGCAGCTACAATCTCACTAAACATCAAAAAATTCATACAGGGGAGAAACCGTATCAGTGTGTGGAATGTGGAAAGAGCTTCAGTATGAGCTACAATCTCACTTCCCATCAAATAATTCATACAGGGGAGAAACCCTATCAGTGTATGGAATGTGGAAAGAGCTTCAGTATGAGCTACAATCTCACTTCCCATCAAATAATTCATACAGGGGAGAAACCCTATCGGTGCATGGAATGTGGAAAGAGCTTCAGTAGAAGCGCCGATCTCACTTCCCATCAAAGAATTCATACAGGGGAGAAACCCTATCAGTGTGTGGAATGTGGAAAGAGCTTCAGTATGAGCTCCGATCTCACTAAACATCAAAGAATTCATACAGGAGAGAAACCCTATCGGTGCATGGAATGTGGAAAGAGCTTCAGTATGAGCTCCCATCTCACTTCCCATCAAAGAATTCATACAGGGGAGAAACCCTATCAGTGCATGGAATGTGGAAAGAGCTTCAGTATGAGCTCCAGTCTCACTTCCCATCAGATAATTCATACTGGGGAGAAACCCTATCAGTGTGTGGAATGTGGAAAGAGCTTCAGTAGAAGCTCTGATCTCACTAAACATCAAAGAATTCATACAGGGGAGAAACCCTATCAGTGTGTGGAATGTGGAAAGAGGTTCACTGATAGCTCCCATCTCACTTCCCATCAAAGAATTCATACAGGGGAGAAACCCTATCAGTGTGTGGAATGTGGAAAGAGCTTCAGTATGAGCTCCCATGTCACTTCCCATCAAAGAATTCATACAGGGGAGAAACCCTATCAGTGTGTGGAATGTGGAAAGAGCTTCAGAAGCAGTTCCTCTCTCACTAAGCATGAAAGAATTCATACAGGGGAGAAACCCTATCAGTGCATTGAATGTGGAAAGAGCTTCAGTAGCAGCTTCGATCTCACTAAACATCAAAGAATTCATACAGGGGGGAAACCCTATCAGTGCATTGAATGTGGAAAGAGCTTCAGTAGCAGCTTCGATCTCACTAAACATCAAAGAATTCATACAGGGGAGAAACCCTATCAGTGTGTGGAATGTGGAAAGAGCTTCAGTCAGAGCTCCAATCTCACTTCCCATCAAAGAATTCATACAGGGAAGAAACCCTATGAGTGCATTGAATGTGGAAAGAGCTTCAGTATGAGCTTCAATCTCACTTCACATCAAAGAATTCATACAGGGGAGAAACCCTATCAGTGTGGGGAATGTGGAAAGAGCTTCAATCAAAAGTCCAGTCTCACTTACCATCAAAGAATTCATACAGGGGAGAATCACGGAATTGTAGAATTTTGAGCTTGAAGTGATCCCTGGTGCAATCTATTTCACCCCTTGTGATGCTGGCATAGCAAGTAAAACATCCATGACATGACCATCCAACTTCATTTGAAAACCTCAAAGAATGGAAATTCCAGCACTCCCAAGGGAGTCCAATCCACTAATAGCTCTTGCTGTCAAAAAGTTCTTCCGCATGTTTAGTCAGTCTTTTTAAAAAAACAAAACTTGAAGGCATTGGTATGTGTCCAACCCTGTGGAGCAGGCGTCCTATTGGGAAGACCCAGTTCTCTGAGTGCATGTTCTGGAAGTTGGGCAATAGGGGCAGTACAGGATTCCTTTTGGTGTACCGACCTCTGCACTGCACCAAGGATTCCCTGCCTGAGCTGCTCCAGGTCGTGGCAGATGTTCTCCTGGAGACATTTAGTTTGGTTTTCCTAGGGGATTTTAACATCCACGCCGACATGACCTTACAAGGGGCCGCTTGGGACTTTGTGGAAAGCATGGCCTCCATGGGGCTTTCCCTGAATATGTTTGGCCCAACTCATAGCCGTGGACATGCCTTAGACCTGGTGTTCACCTCTATGGATGTTGGTGATCTGACACTAAGTAAAAGCGAAACTAAAGAATTGCCATGGTCAGATCACTTCCTGGTGCAACTGGACTTCTCCGTGAACCTTCCCCTCTGCAGGGAGGTGGGACCAATTCAGATGGTCCGCCCCTCAATGGATCAAAATGGTTTCCAGAGAGCAGTAGGGATGTTTTATCCCATGTTGATGGCCTTTCAGCTGATTCCTGGTGGCCCTGAAATGTGGAGTTAACCAGGGCTATTGACTGTTTGGCTCCGAAGCGCCCTCTCTGATTGCATGGAGCCCGGACAGCCCCGTGGTTTTCTTCAGAGCTGAGGGTGATGAAACAATCGCTGAGACGGCTAGAGCGCTGGTGGCGGATAACCCATTCTGAAGCTGACCGGATACGGGTTAGAGCTCAATGTCGAGCCTACCAAGTGGTGATAGCGACGTCCAAAAAGACTTTCTTCACTGCCTCTATTACATCTGCGGGGGGAAAACAGCAGGAGACTCTTACAGGTGGTTCACAATTTAGCAGTACCACCTGCTCCATTAGGGCCCAGTACAGGCCACATGATCTCCTGCAATGATTTTGCAAAGTTTTTTGCAGACCAAAGTCGCTCAGATTCGAGAAGACGTAGACTCCACCATGGGAGCAGGGCGGGAGAGTGCTAGAGTCCTGTCTAGTCAAGATGTGTGGGATCAATTCCAATCTGTTACCCGCGTGGATGTGGACAGGCTGCTTGGAAGAATGAAACCAACCACTTGTCTCCTTGATCCTTGTCCATCCTGGCTTATAAAAGCTAGCCGAGAAGGGCTGGGCGATGATGGGCTTTGTGGGGTGGTGAATGCTTCTCTCTGTGAGGGAGCCTTCCCGGACCCATCTTTAGATGTGGCCACGATGGCCAACTATCGCCCAGTCTCATATCCTCCATTCTTGGGCAAGGTGATTGAGCGAGTGGTTGCTGAACAACTCCAGGCACGCCTGGAGGAAGCGGACCATTTGGATCCCTTCCAGACGGGATTCAGGCCTCAACATGGGACTTGAAACTTCCTTGGTCGCACTGGTTGATCTCTGGCGGGCTAGGGACAAAGGTGAGAGCTGTTTCCTAGTTCTGCTGGATCTCTCAGCGGCGTTTGATACCATCGACCATAACATCCTTCTTTACCGTCTTGAGGGGCTGGAAGCTGGGGGCACTGTCATACAGTGGTTCCGCTCCTTCCCCCTGGGCTTTGTTCAGAAAGTGGGGGGGGGATGAGTGTTCAGAACCCTGGGCTCTCACTTGTGGGGCGCCTCAGGGATCCATCCTCTCCCCCATATTTTCAACATCTACATGCAGCTGCTGGGAGAGATCATCAGGGGGTTTGGACTTGGTGTTCATCAGTATGTGGATGATACCCAGCTCTACCTCTCTTTCAAATCAGAACCAGTGAAGGCGGTGAAGGTCTTGTGTGAGTGTCTCGAGGTGGTTGGAGGATGGATGGCAGCTAACAGATTGAGGTTGAATCCTGACAAGACAGAAGTACTGTTTTGGGGGACAGGAGGGGGCAGGTATGGAGGACTCCCTGGTCCTGAATGGGGTAACTGTGCCCCTGAAGGACCAGGTGCGCAGCCTGGGAGTCATTTTGGACTCACAGCGGTCCATGGAGGCACAGGTCAAATCTGTGTCCAGGGCAGCTGTTTCCCAGCTCCATCTGGCACGCAGGCTGAAACCCTATCTGCCTGCGGACTGCCTCGCCAGATTGGTGCATGCTCTGCTCATCTCCCGCTTGGACTGCTGCAATGCGCTCTACATGGGGCTACCTTTGAAGTTCTACCCAGACACTGAGGTCCAGCTCAGAGGGCCTTCTGGAGGTTAGCTCACTGCGAGAAGCTAAGTTACAGGGAACCAGCCAGACGGCCTTCTCGGTAGTGGCGCCCTCCCTGTGGAACACCCTCCCACCAGATGTCAAAGAGAACAACTACCAGACTTTTAGAAGACATCTGAAGGCAGCCCTGTTTAGGGAAGCTTCTAATTTTTGATGTATTAGTATTTTAATATTTTATTTGAAGCCGCCCAGAGTGGCTGGGGAAGCCCAGCCAGATGGGCGAGGTATAAATAATAAATATTAATAATAATTATCATTTTATTTTCTTTCTCCTGTAGAAACCTATGTTATCCATCATTTGAGAACCACGATATTGTTCTCCCTTTGCTCTTCTTTCATTTTTATCACAGTCTTAGAACTCTAATACTTTGAAGGAGCGAGGTTTTAATTTCATGAAGTGAGGCAGCTCATGCTCTATTAACAGTCGTAGCTGAGATAGGAAGACCATGTTGAGGGTCTGGAGAGAGTGTTCAGATGGGACTTAATCTGGAATAGAAGCTGTGGGAAGACTCTTCTTCTGGGGTCTCCTTCCATTTGGGAGGAGAGATTTTCTAGGAAAAGGAGATTTCTGAGTCAGTAAAAAGGACTCAGATGATCCCCTGGGTCTGGCATACAAAGGGGGGGAGAGATTTTCTAGGAAAGGAGATTTCTGTGTCAGTAAATAGGACTCAGAGGATCCCCTGGGTCTGGCATACAAAGGAAAATACCTCGGGAGAGGGACTGCTAAGAGAGAGGGGAACCGAGGAAAAGTGGCCCCTCGCTCACTATTTCTGTGGTAGCAGAGTCTGTAACCTGAAACGTATGTAACCTGAAGCGTTTGTAACGCAAGGTACCACTGTAGTACCTTGTTTAATCCTGTGACATTTAGCTGAAGTAATAAGTTAACGTCTACCTGACAGAGGCCTTCCAGAATCTGATTCAGAGCCAAATTTGGAGACATATGTCACACAGACAATTTCAGAATGGCTGGGAGAAAGCAAAGATTGGTTGGATGGGCTTTCAGAGAGCTGTTTCAGAATTAAATTGCGTGAAAATTGAGAACGGAGGCAGCCAGGAGATGTTTGATTAACAGTAGTAACAAAAAGAGTGAAGGATGCTATCCTTCAGAACAGTTTTTGAAAAAAATCTTGTGGTTTCCGGACAGAAAGTAGATATCTTTAGCGAGATTCCACTGAAATTGAGACTTAGAAGAACCAAATATAGATATTTAACAATAGCACTCAGAAGAGCTGACATCAGATATAAATGGGAATTCCCAGAGGGCATTTCCTTTACATACACGAAAAGGAGATACAGGCTAATATCAGAATTTCAGAGAGTCCTTTGACAAATACAGGAGAGACTTAGATTCCAACTGCTGAAAGGCACATACGGTATTCTGTTAGAATGGGAGACGAAAGACGAAGAGGTGAAATCAGTTATGATTAAATGGGCACAAGATATGGGTCATAATATTATTGTGGAAGATTGGGAAAGGTTATGGAAAACCGATTTAAAATTCACAGAGTGTTCCTTGCTGAAAGAAAATTATATGAAGATGATGCATAGATGCTATATGACACCAGTGCAGTTAGGAAGAATTAACAAAACCAGCTCAAATATGTTTTGGAAGTGTAACGAAAGAGACAGGACTTTTACTATATGTGGTGGGATTGTAATGAAATCAAAAAGTTTGGGGAAATGATATATAGTGAGTTGAAGAAAATGTTCCAATTAAAATTTGTTTAAAAACCTAAGGCATTTTTGTTAGGGATTGATGGAAAAATTGATGGATTACGCAGAATTGGCAAAATTGAGACACAAACTACGTGACAAGGATAACTGTGATTTTAAAGATGAATGGGAACCCTTTACAAAGTACATAAAGAAGCAACAAAATGAACTGGACTCCTTGGCAGGTTTTGAATAAACTTTTACAAACTTTTTATTGATAACATTTAGATAGAAAATTAAAAATCTGTACAGTATTGTAACATGCAGAAAATAACATATGTTGATTATCCAGAGAGGGGAGCTGAGGGAAGGCTGAGGGGGAGGGGAGGGTGGGTCAGGTTTTGTGGAGGGGGGAAAAATAAGGGGGGAAATTTAAGGATGATATGTTATTTGATAAAATGTTATGTTGAAATTACTAATAAAAATATTTTTAATAAACATTTTGAAAGTGTTTGTGTGTGTTTTTACAATCAAGCAGTCTATACATTTAATGAAAATTACAATACATTATAACATCATATAACATAAGCAGGAGTTATAAAAAAATTAATTAAATAGCGCACTGTCTTTCAGGTTGTGTCTTCCTGGAGTTCCACACCTCTGCTGGGTGGAGAGGAAATGGTCTCTCCTCCTTCATCTCAGCTCCACAGCAGTTCTCTCAAAAAGACTTGGCACTCCAGAATGCGGAACTCAGAGCCCTTTATAACATGAAAACACAATCAAACAAGGAACTTATAGTGCTGCGGAAGTAGTAGTAGTAGTAGTAGTAGTAGTAGTATTTATTTAGTAGTAGTAGTATCTGAGGTCCCCCCAGGGCGCCTGCTCAGCTGAGAGGAGGGTGTCATAGCACAGGTAGCAAATCAGCTGCTGCTCCGCCCCTTGAGGGATTCCCCGCCTCACTTAATTGGCCAAATATTCCCAAAGGGCATCACCCGCCACTATATAAACCCTCTCACCCCCGGCAGCAGCAATGAGGTGGTACAGCGTTCAGGTGCTAAGAGTGTGTCCCTGCTTTGGGAGGGGGAACACAGCCCCCCAGCAAAGTTTGGAGGATGAGCCAAGAGGTATAGCCGGACATTGGAAGGCAAACTGTTGCAGGAATTTATGTATAGGTTGGGGGGGGGGGTTGCCCCTGCAGCAGATATCATGCACATGCAGCCCACTACCAAAATCAGCACCATCACTTTTGTGACTTTTTTGACTGGTCCCAACAAAACACTTCATCACAGTTTCTTCCTATATTCTGCACTATACCAAATGTAAGAATTCACTGATAAAGGTATCTGTGTACTGGCTCACTGGGAAAACTTCAGAAATTCATATAGACATGTGAGCTCAGCTACTCAGCTGCCCCTCTGCTTCAGTGGTGATTTCTGGCATCCTGATACCTGAGTGCCAGACAGGTAGCAATTCCAGAAATAACAAACCCAGACGAAGACAAAAGGGTCAGGTTATATTCCATGGGTGTTTGATGGAAGGCAAGGGGAACCATGGGGCAGGGTCCAGGATGCTCAGATTACTGCCACCAGACCTCCCCTTTCATGATGTATGAGTGATGTAGTTTGGGGGGGGGTGCAACATGGGGATTAGCAGCTAATAAAAGTTTGGGTTCTCTTTTGTTTGGGGCTTCCATCTTGTTCCACCTGGTGTCAGGTGGGAGTCCTGCCATGACAGTCTTCAAGAGAGACCAAGCCAACTGGCGGCTGTTTTGCTCTGGTATTCCTGGCTGGTGTCCTTGTTTTTTGTCCAAGGGAGCCCTCAGATTTCTCCATTAACAAAACGTACCCAAAGCCTTCAAAATGTGCACTTTCCTGCATTTTGCAGCTCAGCAATGTGTAGTCCCAGGAGAGGCAGGCACAGCGTGTCTTCCTGTTCCTCCCTCAGCTGAGACCTGCCTGGATGGAGACCTGAGAGCCACCTCTCAATATCTGGAGGGCTGACCCATGGAAGAGGGAACCAGCTTGTTTTCTCCTGCCCTAGAGGGGGAGCACCCAGAATAAGGGACCCAGAGGACCAGAAAGCAGTTTCTGCTGCCTAAACAGCAGGAAGAACATTCTGACGGGAAGAGCAGCAGAATCCCTTGGGAGATGGCGGACTCTCCTTCCTTGGAGGTTTTTAAGCAGAGGTTGGATGGTTTGGCTGAGATTCCTGCCTTGCAAGGGGTTGGAATAGATGACCCTTAGGGCTCCCTCCCATTCTAGGATGAGGTTCCTTGCTTCCTGCAAACCCCTTTTCCCTGCAACCTCTTCCTCCAGTTTCTGGCCAAGGGAGGGAGCGGATCACAGACCAACCAAGAGCGTCCCTCAAAATGAGCATCTCTGGGATTCTGCAATGCAGGAGAGAAAAGGTAGAGAGGACTGAGCAGGGTGGACTCGGCTTTGCAAGGGTTAAAGGGAACTGAGCTGCATTCCTAGACAGGACAGGAAGTAAAGGGGGGGCAGGTCCTCCAGAGGAAAATCCCTCCCTCCCCTTCCTGCAAACGGGGGCAGGGTTGCTTTCTGCTATTGCAAATCCTGCCTTGCTCTCTTCCACGGGGATCTGGTGAGTCTCTTCCTCCCTCCCCCCCCCCCGGAGGGCGCAGTGGGGAGAAGGTGGGGGTCCCAGGGCTGCAGCAGGGGAGGGTGGCTCATGTGTGGGGGGGGGGAGCCCCGGGAGCAGGGGGTCCTGCCAGGGAGGGACGGGGTTGCGCGAGGTTTGCAACTACAGTACTGTATGTCCTGCATTTCTATACAGACGCCGCTTACTCCTTTGGGAAGGGCAATTCTCTCCTGGGATCTGGTGAGTCTCTTCTTCCTCCTCCCCCCCCCCCGAGGGTGCAGTGGGGAGAAGGTGGGGGTCCCAGGGAGGCAAGTGAGGGTGGCTCATGGGGGGGGGGGAGCCCCAGGGAGCAGGGGGTCCTGCCAGGGAGGGGCGAGGTCGCAGGATCTGTCTCCTTCCTTTAGATCTTTGGGGGGGGGGAGGGGAGGTTCCCGCCCCCTTCCAGAAAAAAATTATTCAGAGCCCCCTGGGAAATCTAGCAGATAGAAATCTAGCTTCTGTAAGGAAGGCTTATCAGTACGACTTCTGCTGTGTGTGACAGGAGTCAGCGTCATTGCACAACAGAGGAAACACATATGAATGGTTGCTCCCAAACCTCTTCGCTCCTTTCCCTCCTTTCTTTCTGCTTCTACCGCCCCCTTATTGGCAGAGGAGGCCAGCCAAGCAGATCAAGCCAAGCTTTATGAGGAGCTGGGTATGTTTAGTTGGAGAGGAGGAGACAGAGAGGAGAGAGGAGAGCCGTGTCAGATTAGATAATTTATTACGGTCAGAGACCAGCTTATAAAACACACTTGGGAGTACAGTCACAGAAGTAAAACAGGCAATTTATGTACGACAACAAATTAAAAAACAATGTACACCAACAAACTATCCCAGGGAGTTGACTCAGAGTCACCCATGAAACTGAGTTTGGGGATTTTCATGACGGTCTATTTTGAGTTGGGAGATGGTCTGCGCCTACAGATCTGTACACAGAATCTGGCGACCATCCAGGTCATCTTCTGATCTTTGCCTAACAGGAAAAGGTCTCATTTTTGCTTTTGCAGGAGGTCAGCGAGCCTCACCAGCAGGGGATCAATGGTCTTACTACGTGTCTCTTCGTAAAAGGGACGTCTAAAGAACAAGTGTTTTGGCTTCCTATCTCTCCCAATGGACAGGTGAAAAGTCTCTGAGCATACGGGACTTTTCTAGAAGCTCCGTCCAGGACCAGCGAGGGAAGAGCCGAGCTTCTGGCGAGTGTAAAGGCCCTTCTTGTATTTCTAGATGCGAGAAAGAAGAGATATTCTGCCGGTGCGGCTATATATTTCTCGATTTCTCCAATTTTATGGTCGGAGCACCTTGCGCAGTCCTGTTCTCTCTCGGTATCTAATATTCTTTGCCTGACTGTGGCTTTTGCCTGGCACAAGCCCAGACTTAGAAGGGCTTGAGGGGCAAAACCCAGTTTCCGGAGGGTGTTCAGGACTGCAGTCTGCCAGCCCGACTGGAATTGGTCACAGAGGATCAATGGGGCTATCCCTCTGGGGATCAGATACAATGTCAGCCATTTGTAGATTGATGTTAGGCAGATGCTAGCCTCCACTCTCATCATCCCCGTTTCTAATCTAACCCATGCGTTTGAGACACATCTGGGCACTTGGAGGAGAGCTCTAAGAAGTCTAGATTGAACTCTCTCAAGGGGGGAGAAAGCCGAGGAACGCGGGCGCAAAAGGAACCATAAAGGAGTTGTGCCAAAGTTTTGGCCTTGTATAGTTTTAGAGCTGCGGGAACAAAGAAGCCCCTTGTGCTCTGAAAAATTTAAGAATACAATTTGCGGGTTTTTCCGCTGAACTCCCGATGGAGTTTATGTGTAGTTTGTTGGCTCCTGAGGCCTATACCACCATTCCTAGATACGTATAGTTTGTGACTTGTTCTAATTTATGGCCTTGGAGTTCCCAGCTTTTAAGCTTTGGTTTTTCCCCAAAAGCGAGTATCTTGGTCTTTTGATAGTTGATTTTGAGACATTCAAATTCACAGTATGCTGCGAGCTTTCTTAGTGCTCTTTTGAGTCCAATGGGGGTTCTAGATAGAATTACTGCATCGTTGGCATATAGCAGGACCGAAATATGCCGATTTGTGAGCTTCGGAGGGTGGAGTTCGGAGTCATGGAGTGCAGATACTAAATTATTTAGATAGAAATTGAATAGTAGAGGGGCCAATAGGCACCCTTGCCTGACTCCTTTAGAGGTTTTAATAGGGTCCGTTAGGTGTCCTAGGCGGCTACACCTGACTCTAAGAGCCGTGTTTGCGTGCAGTGCCTGAATTAAGAGCAGAAGCTCTTAATTCTATGTAGGTACCCTGTAGTCTGTCCCAGAGTCTGGTTCTGGAGACTGTATCAAAGGCTGCTTTTAGATCAACAAAGGCAGTGTACAGTGAGGCCTGCCTTTAGGAGAGCCATGTCACCTGGGCGCAGGATTCCAACCAATGGCTTCAAGCTACAAGAAAGGAGATTCGGACTCAACACACCTAGTCATTTTTCACTAGGAACCAATGACTCCCTTGTCAATCAGTTCTGACTTCATGCATTGACTGGAAGGAAGGAGCAACCAGGCTGAGTCCCCTCGCATTAATCTCTTCGCTTGCCTCCACATTTCCACAATCTCCCTTCGAGAGGCCTACATCATCTCCTCCTCCTCTTCCTCCTCCTCCTTTTTAGAAAGATAGCTCAGAGTCTGGGCTGTGGTGCAGTCCTACCCTGGTTCCCAGGAAGACTCATCCATGCTTGCTCAGGGAAACTTTTTCTTCTCCTGATATTGTACAACTTTTGTAACAGAACAATGTATTTGCTTTGTAGGATTCAGACAGACAGAACTTGGCAGAAGACCAAAGTGTTCCTTCCAATCTCTCCGAGGCTTCCTGAGAGCACAGATGGATGAGCGAGACACAGCTGGCCCTAGAGCAGGAAGAGGCCATGTCATCCAAACTGGGAGCAGTGGGGGATTCTGGGAAAACTCTGTGCAGAAGATCCTGGGTGAGGAGGACACCCACTCCTCAGAGGTGCAGAGCCAGCAGTTGAGGCAGTTCTGCTTCCAGGAGGCCAAGGGACCCCGAGAGGTTTGCAGCCAACTCTACCACCTTGATCATCAGTGGCTGAAGCCAGAAAGGCACACGAAAGCTGAGATGCTGGACCTGGTGATCTTGGAGCAGTTCCTGGCTGTCCTTCCACTGGACATGGAGAGCTGGGTGAGGAACTGTGGAGCAGAGACCAGTTCCCAGGCGGTGGCCCTGGCCGAAGGTTTCCTCCTGAGTCAGGCAGAGGAGAGGAAGCAGGCAGAGAGAAAGCAGGTGAGAGAGACTTTCCTCTGGATACTCCCAAGGGGCTCCAAACAGGATGGAGAACATCCAAAAATGGTCTGCTGATGGCCCATCCTTTTTCTGGGAATGAGATCTAACAGCCTTAAAGATTCTGTCTCTGCCATTCTCTTTCTAACATTTCTCACCATTCATTTACAGTTTTGAATCCTTGTTGTTCTTTCAGAAAAGGGATCATTATGGAGAAATGGACCTGGATTCCTGTGAGGCAGAGAGGCCTCCGTTGGACACCAGAGAGAGGCCCCTGGGTAAGGAGGAAGGTGGCTTTTCTCCATTTGGTCTTGTTCTGTTGGTTTTCCAACTCATCTGATGGTTCTTTTCATCTTGGTTTTTTTTTTTTTTTTTTTTTTGAGGGGTGGGGGTTGGGAACAAGGGTTCAGAGGAGGGGAGACGTATTTCTGCACACCTAACATGAAATGGGCACAAACCTTCAACTGCACTCAGCAGGTAGGCTTTCTCAAAGCCCCATCTGTAGTTAGAGATGTCCTGTTTCCTCTGTGAGAGAAGCAGGCACTCCTAGCATCCTGCTTACCTTTTTTCTTTTGCAGGTGAAAGAATGAAGCCAGCAAGACCTCCTGATCCATCTTTTCATGGGGGCAGAAGGGAAGCAGTGGCTGTGGAACCAGATCAGGTATGGGGAAGCTGCCTTGTGGGGTCAGAGGCCGAGGGATGGAGCAATGTCATGGACTGGTTGGGCACAGAGGAATGGTGGGAGGAAGCAGCCAGGGAACCAGGAAGGGAATATTGCTCTGAGCCCAAAGAGTGAAGGTGGAGGAAGGATTGGCGGTCAGAGGGAGAAGCCTGGGAAGAGGAGGTGTCAGAAGCTGAAGGGGCAACAGGGCTTAGTGAGCTGGGAGACTCTGTGGCAGAATGCAGTGCAGAATCAGAGGCAGAAGAAGAAGGAGGCGAGTGGGAGAGGAAGATCGAGAGGCAGAGGTGAGTCAGGAGAGGGGGAGCCACCGGGTGCTCCCTCTCCTTCTGCCAGAATCCACCCTCCCTGCTTGTCTCTCAGAGCCAAGAGAGGTCTAACATGGAGGAGTAAAGGCAGGCTGCACACTGGCGCACTGTTCAATCGCTTGCCAGAAACCCCAGAGAGGAGGGGACTTGGAAAGCTGTGGGGAGCCGGGGGCCTTCACTCTCAGCAACTGCTTTTGTGGAGGAAGAGGCTCAGGGAATGAGCTGCTGTTTTCATGAAGCCCGAAACTCAGCCAAGTATGTGAACATCGTGCTCTTGCTGATAAAGAGTAAACTCCAGCTGTGAACTGTGGGATTTCCTGCCCAGATAACTCTGTCATACCAGCCTTCTGAATGTTGCCAGTAGGATTCATCTGTAGTTGCAGTTTTCATGGAATCCTAGAGTTGAAAGGGACCCCAAGGGTCATCAAGTCCAACCCCCTGCATTGCAGGAGTCTCAACTCGATAATCCAAGACAGATGGCCATCCAGTCTTGGCTTGTTTTATTTCTGTATTCATCAATGAATGCTAAAATAGGCTTCTTCTTTTTTAAAAAAATGATATTTATTAGGAGTTTAAAAAATTACAGAAAATAGAAAAAAGGAAAACAATTAAAAAAATTAACAGAACATACCTTACAATACATAAAAAGAAAAACATAGAAAAACAATACAGCAAAACAGCAAAACAGCAAAAAGAAACAAAAACACTAAAACACACATCCAATGTTCCATATCTTTACCTTTCATTTACTTGTTTCATCGGCCTCCTCACACCTCCCTTTTTTGTATTCTAGTTCAATTACCTATTTCAGCACATTCTTTCCATCTTTCTCAATTTTTGTTCTATATTTTATCTTAACAGTCTAACCTTAAATTTTTCATTTTGGCCCATTATCAATCAGTTTTTACTTAATTCTTTATTACAATTCTGCTAAAACCAAATACCTTCATTCCAGCATCCTTCTAACATTCATTAATTTTGCTATATTTTTGTAAATATACTTTAAATTTTTTCCAATCTTCTTCCACCGACTCTTCTCCCTGGTCTCGGATTCTGCCAGTCATTTCCGCCAGTTCCATGTAGTCCATCAGCTTCATCTGCCTTTCTTCCCTGGTGGGAAGAGCTTTTTTTCAATTGCCAAGCCAACAGCTTTCCGCACTTATTTGCCGATTCAAATGTCTTTTGTCTCATCTGTTTAATCTTCCATTGTATTTCCTGATTCATCATTTTCATATATTGTACTTGATATAACTTTATCTCTTTCAAAATCTCCTGCGACCTTGGTTTCACCCTTAATTTCTCCTCTCCTTCCTTTATCTTTTCCAGGATTTTGTCTTTTTTCTCATTTTGCATTCTCTTCTTAATTGCATTCTGTTGTATCAAAAAACCTCTCATGACCGCTTTGCTTGCATCCCAGATTACTCTTCTTTACACAGCTAAAATAGGCTTCTAAGCAGCGGACAGACGATAACAAATAATGTCCAGGATTCACCTAGCCAGCCCCATCCGCTGCAAAATGGGGCCTGCCCCCCACTCCTCCCCCTCTCCATGCCCCCATGAACCCCTTGAATTCGGCTCTAGGGCATTGTGAGGGAACCTCCCCAGAACAACTCACGAGGAGAGGAGGAAGTGGATCCTTCCATCGGGGAAACTGGAATGCTTGCGTAGGCAGAATAACGTAAACATAAGCTGGAGTACCACCCATTTGCAAAAAGATGAATACCCACACTTAAAATGCAGAATAAAAGATTCAATTAAAGTGTTAAAATAGGTACACATAATAAAAATGTGCAGCAAAGCAATCCTATTGAAATAACACAGCAATTTACAGGAAGGAAATAACAGAGCACTGTGCAGCAGATCATATTTCTGCTGTCTCAGAGGAGGACATTCCCTTTTTCTTTTAGGGTCCAGTGTGCTTTGAAGATGTCGCTGTTCGTTTCACGGACGAGGAGTGGGAGTTGCTGGATCCTGACCAGAGAGCTCTGCATAAGGACGTAATGGAGGAGAATTGGGGGATCGTGGCCTCTCTTGGTAAGCCTCCGTGTGGGATCGTCCTATCTGCCAGGAAATTCAAAAAATACCTCTATGTGACAAACCTCATATATTTTCTCAGCGCCCCCTACGACACCTGGGAACCTTACACCCCCACAAGAAATAGTAAATTACAGTTTTTTCTGTGAACAATCTTCCTCCAGTTCTGCCTCCCTCTACCACAGTTGGGCTGATCTGAACTGCCCAGGCATCTTAAATGTCAGCTTCAGAGTTGTTCAGAAAGATAAGTAGCTTCTGTCAGGTTTTCTGTTTTTCTTTTTGCTGCTGTCAGTCTTGGGTAGACCAAAGAGACGACTGACACTGGAGATGGAGGGGATGCCATGACTGGGCCAAAAAACATCTGCCCCAGAGAAGAGCCAAGCTGATTGAATCTCAGGTAGTACTAGCAGTGATAATAATAATAATAGTAATAATAATAATTTTTATGTATACCCTGACCATCTGGTGGGGTTGCCCCAGCAAATCTGGGAAGCTTCCAACACATATACAGTCGTATTTCTGGTTGCGAATGGGATCCGTTCCGGAGATCCGGCCAGATCCCGAGGTTTTCGCAACCCAAGGATCACTGCGCATGGATTTGTCGCTTTCATAAGCTGATGTTTATATAATCCGAGGGTTACGTAACCCGAGGTGCTACTGTATAAACATGAAACAGTAATAATAACAACAATATAATCCAATGAAAAAGTACAAAAATTTTACAAAAAGTACAGAATTTATAAAATGAGTAACTTACTTCAAACAAAGCAACATTCAACCATCGATTAGAATCCAGTAATAAATACATTGGTTTATTACAAATAACAAAGGTAATGAACACTGCCTTCTCTACAACAAATTTAATGAGTATTATTCCCTAACTGGGGTCTCCATTTGTTCCTGAGACTCTAATCCCTTTTTCTCTCCATTGCAGATTGTGATGAATTGGAAAGCAAGAACAAAGGTGACCACAACACAATCTGCAGAGTGGAGAAGGCACGTAAAAATTTGGAATGTGGAAAGAGCTGCAGTCAGAGCTCCCATTCCAGTTCCCATCAACGAAATCTCATTGGAAAGAAACCCTATCAGTGCATTGAATGTGGAAAGAGCGTCAGTAGCAGCTCCGATCTCACTTCCCATCAAAGAATTCATACAGGGGAGAAACCCTATCAGTGTGTGGAATGTGGAAAGAGCTTCAGTAGCAGCTCCAATCTCACTTCCCATCAAAGAATTCATACAGGGGAGAAACCCTATCAGTGTGTGGAATGTGGAAAGAGCTTCAGTCACAGCCAAAGTCTCACTTCCCATCACAGAATTCATACAGGGGAGAAACCCTATCAGTGTGTGGAATGTGGAAAGAGCTTCAGTAGCAGCTCCGATCTCACTAAACATCAAAAAATTCATACAGGGGAGAAACCCTATCAGTGTATGGAATGTGGAAAGAGCTTCAGTATGAGCTACAATCTCACTTCCCATCAAATAATTCATACAGGGGAGAAACCCTATCGGTGCATGGAATGTGGAAAGAGCTTCAGTAGAAGCGCCGATCTCACTAAACATCAAAGAATACATACAGGGGAGAAACCCTATCAGTGTGTGGAATGTGGAAAGAGCTTCTGTATGAGCTCCGATCTCACTAAACATCAAAGAATTCATACAGGAGAGAAACCCTATCGGTGCATGGAATGTGGAAAGAGCTTCAGTAGAAGCGCCGATCTCACTAAACATCAAAGAATACATACAGGGGAGAAACCCTATCGGTGCATGGAATGTGGAAAGAGCTTCAGTATGAGCTCCAATCTCACTTCCCATCAAAGAATTCATACAGGGGAGAAACCCTATCAGTGTGTGGAATGTGGAAAGAGCTTCAGTAGAAGCTCTGATCTCACTAAACATCAAAGAATTCATACTGGGGAGAAACCCTATCAGTGTGTGGAATGTGGAAAGAGCTTCAGTATGAGCTCCCATCTCACTTCCCATCAAAGAATTCATACAGGGGAGAAACCCTATCAGTGTGTGGAATGTGGAAAGAGCTTCAGTATGAGCTCCCATCTCACTTCCCATCAAAGAATTCATACAGGGGAGAAACCCTATCAGTGTGTGGAATGTGGAAAGAGCTTCAGTAGCAGTTCCTCTCTCACTAAGCATGAAAGAATTCATACAGGGGAGAAACCCTATCAGTGCGTGGAATGTGGAAAGAGCTTCAGTCAGAGCTCCTCTCTCACTTCCCATCAAAGAATTCATACAGGGGAGAAACCCTATCAGTGTGTGGAATGTGGAAAGAGCTTCAGTCAGAGCTTCAATCTCACTTCCCATCAAAGAATTCATACAGGGGAGAAACCATATCAGTGTGGTGAATGTGGAAAGAGCTTCAGTATGAGCTTCAATCTCACTAAACATCAAAGAATTCATACAGGGGAGAAACCCTATCAGTGTGGGGAATGTGGAAAGAGCTTCAATCAAAAGTCCAGTCTCACTTACCATCAAAGAATTCATACAGGGGAGAATCACGGAATTGTAGAATTTTTGAGCTTGAAGTGATCCCTGGTGCAATCTATTTCACCCCTTGTGATGCAGGCATAGCAAGTAAAACATCCATGACATGACCATCCAACTTCATTTGAAAACCTCAAAGAATGGAAATTCCAGCACTCCCAAGGGAGTCCAATCCACTAATAGCTCTTGCTGTCAAAAAGTTCTTCCGCATGTTTAGTCAGTCTTTTTTTTAAAAAAAAAAAATTGAAGGCATTGGTATGTGTCCAACCCTGTGGAGCAGGCGTCCTATTGGGAAGACCCAGTTCTCTGAGTGCATGTTCTGGAAGTTGGGCAATAGGGGCAGTACAGGATTCCTTTTGGTGTACCGACCTCTGCACTGCACCAAGGATTCCCTGCCTGAGCTGCTCCAGGTCGTGGCAGATGTTCTCCTGGAGACATTTAGTTTGGTTTTCCTAGGGGATTTTAACATCCACGCCGACATGACCTTACAAGGGGCCGCTTGGGACTTTGTGGAAAGCATGGCCTCCATGGGGCTTTCCCTGAATATGTTTGGCCCAACTCATAGCCGTGGACATGCCTTAGACCTGGTGTTCACCTCTATGGATGTTGGTGATCTGACACTAAGTAAAAGCGAAACTAAAGAAGTGCCATGGTCAGATCACTTCCTGGTGCAACTGGACTCCGCGAACCTTCCCCTCTTCAGGGAGGTGGGACCGATTCAGATGGTCCGCCCCTTAATGGATCAAAATGGCTTCCAGAGAGCAGTAGGGATGTTTTATCCCATGTTGATGGCCTTTCAGCTGATTCCTGTTGGCCCTGAAATGTGGAGTTAACCAGGGCTATTGACTGTTTGGCTCCGAAGCGCCCTCTCTGATTGCATGGAGCCCGGACAGCCCCGTGGTTTTCTTCAGAGCTGAGGGTGATGAAACAATCGCTGAGACGGCTAGAGCGCCGGTGGCGGATAACCCATTCTGTTTTTTTTTTTTTAAAGAATATTTATTCCAGTTTTAAAGTTACAAAAAATATAGAAAAAACAAACCACACACATCTTACAAAAAACAGACAGTAAAAAAGAAATAAGAAAAAACAAAAAATCACAGTAAAAAATAACAAAAATCAAATTAGACCTTTGCAGCCTTTTTCCCTTTTACTTATTTCCATGACTTCCTCTCACCTCCCTGCTTTGTATTCTAGTTTAAATCGTATCTCCAGCAAATCCTTGTAACCTTCTTTTCTTTTACTTATTTTAACATTCGAAAGTATTTAATTCTCCTCTATCCTCATTTTACACTTCATATTTACTTATTCCATTATACCATGTCTGCCAATACGGTCTAATATTCTTTTCCAACCTTTTTCTAACATTCTTTTATATTACAGTGTTTCTGAAGATATATTTTAAATTTTTTCCAGTCTTCTTCCATCAACCCTTCTTCCTGATCTCGAATTCTGCCGGTCATCTCAGCCAGTTCCATATAGTCCATCACTTTCCTCTGCCATTCTTCTCGGGTAGGCAATTCTTGTGTCTTCCAATATTTCCCAATAAGTATTCTTGCCGCTGCTGTCGCATACATAAAAAATTCCTATCTTCCCTTCGCACCAATTGGCCGACCATGCCCAAGAGGAAGGCCTCTGGTTTCTTCACAAAAGTGTATTTCAATACCTTTTTTAGTTCATTATATATCATTTCCCAGAAGGCCTTGATCTTTGGGCACGTCCACCAAAGGTGGAAAAAGGTTCCTTCATTTTCTTTGCATTTCCAACATTTATTATCGGGCAAATGATAAATTTTGGCTAGCTTGACTGGGGTTAAGTACCACCTATAAATCATTTTCATTATATTTTCTCTTAATACATTGCAAGCCGTAAACTTCATACCTGTGGTCCATAACCGTTCCCAGTCAGCAAACATAATATTATACCCAACATCTTGTGCCCATTTAATCATAACCCATTCTGAAGCTGACCGGATACGGGTTAGAGCTCAATGTCGAGCCTACCAAGTGGTGATAGCGACGGCCAAAAAGACTTTCTTCACTGCCTCTATTAAATCTGCGGGGGGGAACCAGCAGGAGATTCTTTCAGGTGGTTCACAATTTAGCAGTACCACCTGCTCCATTAGGGCCCAGTACAGGCCACATGATCTCCTGCAATGATTTTGCAAAGTTTTTTACAGACAAAGTCGCTCAGATTGGAGAAGACGTAGACTCCACCATGGGAGCAGGGCGGGAGAGTGCTAGAGTCCTGTCTAGTCAAGTTGTGTGGGATCAATTCCAATCTTTTACCCCCGAGGATGTGGACAGGCTGCTTGGAAGAATGAAACCAACCACTTGTCTCCTTGATCCTTGTCCATCCTGGCTTATAAAAGCTAGCCGAGAAGGGCTGGGCGATGGGCTTTGTGGGGTGGTGAATGCTTCTCTCTGTGAGGGAGCCTTCCCGGACCCATCTTTAGATGTGGCCACGATGGCCAACTATTGCCCAGTCTCATATCCTCCATTCTTGGGCAAGGTGATTGAGCGAGTGGTTGCTGAACAACTCCAGGCACGCCTGGAGGAAGCGGACCATTTGGATCCCTTCCAGACGGGATTCAGGCCTCAACATGGGACTTGAAACTGCCTTGGTCGCACTGGTTGATCTCTGGCGGGCTAGGGACAAAGGTGAGAGCTGTTTCCTAGTTCTGCTGGATCTCTCAGCGGCGTTTGATACCATCGACCATAACATCCTTCTTTACCGTCTTGAGGGGCTGGAAGCTGGGGGCACTGTCATACAGTGGTTCCGCTCCTTCCCTCTGGGCTTTGTTCAGAAAGTGGGGGGGATGAGTGTTCAGAACCCTGGGCTCTCACTTGTGGGCTGCCTCAGGGATCCATCCTCTCCCCATATTTTCAACATCTACATGCAGCTGCTGGGAGAGATCATCAGGGGGTTTGGACTTGGTGTTCATCACTATGCGGATGATACCCAGCTCTACCTCTCTTTCAAATCAGAACCAGTGAAGGCGGTGAAGGTCTTGTGTGAGTGTCTCGAGGTGGTTGGAGGATGAATGGCAGCTAACAGATTGAGGTTGAATCCTGACAAGACAGAAGTACTGTTTTGGGGGACAGGAGGGGGCAGGTATGGAGGACTCCCTGGTCCTGAATGGGGTAACTGTGCCCCTGAAGGACCAGGTGCGCAGCCTGGGAGTCATTTTGGACTCACAGCGGTCCATGGAGGCACAGGTCAAATCTGTGTCCAGGGCAGCTGTTTACCAGCTCCATCTGGTACGCAGGCTGAAACCCTATCTGCCTGCGGACCGCCTCGCCAGATTGGTGCATGCTCTGCTCATCTCCCACTTGGACTGCTGCAATGCGCTCTACATGGGGCTACCTTTGAAGTTCTACCCAGACACTGAGGTCCAGCACCGAGGGCCTTCTGGAGGTTACCTCACTGCGAGAAGCTAAGTTACAAGGAACCAGCAAGAGGGCCTTCTCAGTAGTGGCGCCCTCCCTGTGGAATGCCCTCCCACCAGATGTCAAAGAGAACAACAACTACCAGACTTTTAGAAGGCATTTGAAAGCAGCCATGGTTAGAAAAGCTTTTAATTTTTGATGTATTAGTATTTTAATATTTTATTTGAAGCCGCCCAGAGTGGCTGGGGAAGCCCAGCCAGATGGGCGAGGTATAAATAATAAATATTAATAATAATTATCATTTTATTTTCTTTCTCCTGTAGTAACCTATGTTATCCATCATTTGAGAACCACGATATTGTTCTCCCTTTGCTCTTCTTTCATTTTTATCACAGTCTTTGAACTCTAATACTTTGAAGGAGCGAGGTTTAAATTTCATGAAGTGAGGCAGCTCATCCTCTATTAACAGTCATAGCTGAGATAGGAAGACCATGTTGAGGGTCTGGAGAGAGTGTTCAGATGGGACTTAATCTGGAATAGAAGCTGTGGGAAGACTCTTCTTCTGGGGTCTCCTTCCATTTGGGAGGGGAGAGATTTTCTAGGAAAAGGAGATTTCTGAGTCAGTAAATAGGACTCAGACGATCCCCTGGGTCTGGCATACAAAGGAAAATACCTAGGGAGAGGGACTGCTAAGAGAGAGGGGAACCAAGGAAAAGTGGCCCCTCGCTCACTATTTCTGTGGTAGCAGAGTCTGTAACCTGAAACGTATGTAACCTGAAGCGTTTGTAACGCAAGGTACCACTGTAGTACCTTGTTTAATCCTGTGACATTTAGCTGAAGTAATAAGTTAACGTCTACCTGACAGAGGCCTTCCAGAATCTGATTCAGAGCCAAATTTGGAGACATATGTCACACAGACAATTTCAGAATGGATGGGAGAAAGCAAAGATTGGTTGGATGGGCTTTCAGAGAGCTGTTTCAGAATTAGATCGCGTGAAAATTGAGAACGGAGGCAGCCAGGAGATGTTTGATTAACAGTAGTAACAAAAAGAGTGAAGGATGCAATCCTTCAGAACAGTTTTTGAAAAAAATCTTGTGCTTTCCGGACAGAAAGTAGATATCTTTAGAGAGATTCCACTGAAATTGAGACTTAGAAGAACCAAATATAGATATTTAACAATAGCACTCAGAAGAGCTGACATCAGATATAAATGGGAATTCCCAGAGGGCATTTCCTTTACATACACGAAAAGGAGATACAGGCTAATATCAGAATTTCAGAGAGTCCTTTGACAAATACAGGAGAGACTTAGATTCCAACTGCTGAAAGGCACATACGGTATTCTGTTAGAATGGGAGACGAAAGACGAAGAGGTGAAATCAGTTATGATTAAATGGGCACAAGATATGGGTCATAATATTATTGTGGAAGATTGGGAAAGGTTATGGAAAACCGATTTAAAATTCACAGAGTGTTCCTTGCTGAAAGAAAATTATATGAAGATGATGTATAGATGCTATATGACACCAGTGCAGTTAGGAAGAATTAACAAAACCAGCTCAAATATGTTTTGGAAGTGTAACGAAAGAGACAGGACTTTTTACTATATGTGGTGGGATTGTAATGAAATCAAAAAGTTTGGGGAAATGATATATAGTGAGTTGAAGAAAATGTTCCAATTAAAATTTGTTTAAAAACCTAAGGCATTTTTGTTAGGGATTGATGGAAAAATTGATGGATTACGCAGAATTGGCAAAATTGAGACACAAACTACGTGACAAGGATAACTGTGATTTTAAAGATGAATGGGAACCCTTTACAAAGTACATAAAGAAGCAACAAAATGAACTGGACTCCTTGGCAGGTTTTGAATAAACTTTTACAAACTTTTTATTGATAACATTTAGATAGAAAATTAAAAATCTGTACAGTATTGTAACATGCAGAAAATAACATATGTTGATAATCCAGAGAGGGGAGCTGAGGGAAGGCTGAGGGGGAGGGGAGGGTGGGTCAGGTTTTTTGGAGAGGGGAAAAATAAGGGGGGAAATTTAAGGATGATATGTTATTTGATAAAATGTTATGTTGAAATTACTAATAAAAATATTTTTAATAAACATTTTGAAAGAGTTTGTGTGTGTTTTTACAATCAAGCAGTCTATACATTTTATGAAAATTACAATACATTATAACATCATATAACATAAGCAGGAGTTATAATTTTTTTTAATAAAATAGCGCACTGTCTTTCAGGTTGTGTCTTCCTGGAGTTCCACAGCTCTGCTGGGTGGAGAGGAAACGGTCTCTCCTCCTTCATCTCAGCTCCACAGCAGTTCTCTTAAAAAGACTTGGCACTCCAGAATGCGGAACTCAGAGCCCTTTATAACATGAAAACACAATCAAACAAGGAACTTATAGTGCTGCGGAGGTAGTAGTAGTAGTAGTAGTAGTAGTATTTATTTATTTAGTAGTAGTAGTATCTGAGGTCCCCCCAGGGCACCTGCTCAGCTGAGAGGAAGGTGTCATAGCACAGGTAGCAAATCAGCTGCTGCTCCGCCCCTTGAGGGATTCCCCGCCTCACTTAATTGGCCAAATATTCCCAAAGGGCATCACCCGCCACTATATAAACCCTCTCACCCCCGGCAGCAGCAATGAGGTGGTACAGCGTTCAGGTGCTAAGAGTGTGTCCCTGCTTTGGGAGGGGGAACACAGCCCCCCAGCAAAGTTTGGAGGATGAGCCAAGAGGTATAGCCGGAGATTGGAAGGCAAACTGTTGCAGGAATTTATGTATAGGTTTTTTTGGGGGGGGGGTTGCCCCTGCAGCAGATATCATGCACATGCAGCCCACTACCAAAATCAGCACCATCACTTTTGTGACTTTTTTGACTGGTCCCAACAAAACACTTCATCACAGTTTCTTCCTATCTGCTCAAAGGGCCTCTGCTGCACAATACCAAATGTAAGAATTCACTGATAAAGGTATCTATGTACTGGCTCACTGGGAAAACTTCAGAAATTCATATAGACATGTGAGCTCAGCTACTCAGCAGCCCCTCTGCTTCAGTGGTGATTTCTGGCATCCTGATACCTGAGTGCCAGACAGGTAGCAATTCCAGAAATAACAAACCAAGACGAAGACAAAAGGGTCAGGTTATATTCCATGGGTGTTTGATGGAAGGCAAGGGGAACCATGGGGCAGGGTCCAGGATGCTCAGATTACTGCCACCAGACCTCCCCTTTCATGATGTATGAGTGATGTAGTTTGGGGGGTGTAACGTGGGGATTAGCAGCTAATAAAAGTTTGGGTTCTCTTTTGTTTGGGGCTTCCATCTTGTTCCACCTGGTGTCAGGTGGGAGTCCTGCCACGACAGTCTTCAAGAGAGACCAAGCCAACTGGCCGCTGTTTTGCTCTGGTATTCCTGGCTGGTGTCCTTGTTTTTTGTCCAAGGGAGCCCTCAGATTTCTCCATTAACAAAACGTACCCAAAGCCTTCAAAATGTGCACTTTCCTGCATTTTGCAGCTCAGCAATGTGTAGTCCCAGGAGAGGCAGGCACAGCGTGTCTTCCTGTTCCTCCCTCAGCTGAGACCTGCCTGGATGGAGACCTGAGAGCCACCTCTCAATATCTGGAGGGCTGACCCATGGAAGAGGGAGCCAGCTTGTTTTCTCCTGCCCTAGAGGGGAGCACCCAGAATAAGGGACCCAGAGGACCAGAAAGCAGTTTCTGCTGCCTAAACAGCAGGAAGAACATTCTGACGGGAAGAGCAGCAGAATCCCTTGGGAGATGGCGGACTCTCCTTCCTTGGAGGTTTTTAAGCAGAGGTTGGATGGTTTGGCTGAGATTCCTGCCTTGCAAGGGGTTGGAATAGATGACCCTTAGGGCTCCCTCCCATTCTAGGATGAGGTTCCTTGCTTCCTGCAACCCCCTTTTCCCTGCAACCTCTTCCTCAAGTTTCTGGCCAAGGGAGGGAGCGGATCACAGACCAACCAAGAGCATCCCCTCAAAATGAGCATCTCTGGGATTCTGCAATGCAGGAGAGAAAAGGCAGAGAGGACTGAGCAGGGTGGACTCGGCTTTGCAAGGGTTAAAGGGAACTGAGCTGCATTCCTAGAGAGGACAGGAAGTAAGGGGGGGCCAGGTCCTCCAGAGGAAAAAATCCTCCCTCCCCTTCCTGCAAACGGGGGCAGGGTTGCTTTCTGCTATTGCAAATCCTGCCTTGCTCTCTTCCACGGGGATCTGGTGAGTCTCTTCCTCCCTCCCCCCCCCCGGAGGGCGCAGTGGGGAGAAGGTGGGGGTCCCCGGGCTGCAGCAGGGGAGGGTGGCTCATGTGTGGGGGGGGGGGAGCCCCGGGAGCAGGGGGTCCTGCCAGGGAGGGACGGGGTTGCGCGAGGTTTGCAACTACAGTACTGTATGTCCTGCATTTCTATACAGACGCCGCTTACTCCTTTGGGAAGGGCAATCCTCTCCTGGGATCTGGTGAGTCTCTTCTTCCTCCTCCCCCCCCCCGAGGGTGCAGTGGGGAGAAGGTGGGGGTCCCAGGGAGGCAAGTGAGGGTGGCTCATGGGGGGGGGGGAGCCCCAGGGAGCAGGGGGTCCTGCCAGGGAGGGGCGAGGTCGCAGGATCTGTCTCCTTCCTTTAGATCTTTGGGGGGGGGGAGGGGAGGAGGTTCCCGCCCCCCTTCCAGAAAAAAAATTATTCAGAGCCCCCTGGGAAATCTAGCAGATAGAAATCTAGCTTCTGTAAGGAAGCTTATCAGTACGACTTCTGCTGTGTGTGACACGAGTCAGCGTCATTGCACAACAGAGGAAACACATATGAATGGTTGCTCCCAAACCTCTTCGCTCCTTTCCCTCCTTTCTTTCTGCTTCTACCGCCCCCTTATTGGCAGAGGAGGCCAGCCAAGCAGATCAAGCCAAGCTTTATGAGGAGCTGGGTATGTTTAGTTGGAGAGGAGGAGACAGAGAGGAGATAGGAGAGCCGTGTCAGATTAGATAATTTATTACGGTCAGAGACCAGCTTATAAAACACACTTGGGAGTACAGTCACAGAAGTAAAACAGGCAATTTATGTACGACAACAAATTAAAAAACAATGTACACCAACAAACTATCCCAGGGAGTTGACTCAGAGTCACCCATGAAACTGAGTTTGGGGATTTTCATGACGGTCTATTTTGAGTTGGGAGATGGTCTGCGCCTACAGATCTGTACACAGAATCTGGCGACCATCCAGGTCATCTTCTGATCTTTGCCTAACAGGAAAAGGTCTCATTTTTGCTTTTGCAGGAGGTCAGCGAGCCTCACCAGCAGGGGATCAATGGTCTTACTACGTGTCTCTTCGTAAAAGGGACGTCTAAAGAACAAGTGTTTTGGCTTCCTATCTCTCCCAATGGACAGGTGAAAAGTCTCTGAGCATACGGGACTTTTCTAGAAGCTCCGTCCAGGACCAGCGAGGAAGAGCCGAGCTTCTGGCGAGTGTAAAGGCCCTTCTTGTATTTCTAGATGCGAGAAAGAAGAGATATTCTGCCGGTGCGGCTATATATTTCTCGATTTCTCCAATTTTATGGTCGGAGCACCTTGCGCAGTCCTGTTCTCTCTCGGTATCTAATATTCTTTGCCTGACTGTGGCTTTTGCCTGGCACAAGCCCAGACTTAGAAGGGCTTGAGGGGCAAAACCCAGTTTCCGGAGGGTGTTCAGGACTGCAGTCTGCCAGCCCGACTGGAATTGGTCACAGAGGATCAATGGGGCTATCCCTCTGGGGATCAGATACAATGTCAGCCATTTGTAGATTGATGTTAGGCAGATGCTAGCCTCCACTCTCATCATCCCCGTTTCTAATCTAACCCATGCGTTTGAGACACATCTGGGCACTTGGAGGAGAGCTCTAAGAAGTCTAGATTGAACTCTCTCAAGGGGGGAGAAAGCCGAGGAACGCGGGCGCAAAAAGGAACCATAAAGGAGTTGTGCCAAAGTTTTGGCCTTGTATAGTTTTAGAGCTGCGGGAACAAAGAAGCCCCCTGTGCTCTGAAAAATTTAAGGATACAATTTGCGGGTTTTTCCGCTGAACTCCCGATGGAGTTTATGTGTAGTTTGTTGGCTCCTGAGGCCTATACCACCATTCCTAGATACGTATAGTTTGTGACTTGTTCTAATTTATGGCCTTGGAGTTCCCAGCTTTTAAGCTTTGGTTTTTCCCCAAAAGCGAGTATCTTGGTCTTTTGATAGTTGATTTTGAGACATTCAAATTCACAGTATGCTGCGAGCTTTCTTAGTGCTCTTTTGAGTCCAATGGGGGTTCTAGATAGAATTACTGCATCGTTGGCATATAGCAGGACCGAAATATGCCGATTTGTGAGCTTCGGAGGGTGGAGTTCGGAGTCATGGAGTGCAGATACTAAATTATTTAGATAGAAATTGAATAGTAGAGGGGCCAATAGGCACCCTTGCCTGACTCCTTTAGAGGTTTTAATAGGGTCCGTTAGGTGTCCTAGGCGGCTACACCTGACTCTAAGAGCCGTGTTTGCGTGCAGTGCCTGAATTAAGAGCAGAAGCTCATAATTCTATGTAGGTACCCTGTAGTCTGTCCCAGAGTCTGGTTCTGGAGACTGTATCAAAGGCTGCTTTTAGATCAACAAAGGCAGTGTACAGTGAGGCCGGCCTTTAGGAGAGCCATGTCACCTGGGCGCAGGATTCCAACCAATGGCTTCAAGCTACAAGAAAGGAGATTCGGACTCAACACACCTAGTCATTTTTCACTAGGAACCAATGACTCCCTTGTCAATCAGTTCTGACTTCATGCATTGACTGGAAGGAAGGAGCAACCAGGCTGAGTCCCCTCGCATTAATCTCTTCGCTTGCCTCCACATTTCCACAATCTCCCTTCGAGAGGCCTACATCATCTCCTCCTCCTCCTCCTCCTCCTCCTCCTCCTCCTCCTCCTCCTTTTTAGAAAGATAGCTCAGAGTCTGGGCTGTGGTGCAGTCCTACCCTGGTTCCCAGGAAGACTCATCCATGCTTGCTCAGGGAAACTTTTTCTTCTCCTGATATTGTACAACTTTTGTAACAGAACAATGTATGTGCTTTGTAGAATTCAGACAGACAGAACTTGGCAGAAGACCAAAGTGTTCCTTCCAATCTCTCCGAGGCTTCCTGAGAGCACAGATGGATGAGCGAGACACAGCTGGCCCTAGAGCAGGAAGAGGCCATGTCATCCAAACTGGGAGCAGTGGGGGATTCTGGGAAAACTCTGTGCAGAAGATCCTGGGTGAGGAGGACACCCACTCCTCAGAGGTGCAGAGCCAGCAGTTGAGGCAGTTCTGCTTCCAGGAGGCCAAGGGACCCCGAGAGGTTTGCAGCCAACTCTACCACCTTGATCATCAGTGGCTGAAGCCAGAAAGGCACACGAAAGCTGAGATGCTGGACCTGGTGATCTTGGAGCAGTTCCTGGCTGTCCTTCCACTGGACATGGAGAGCTGGGTGAGGAACTGTGGAGCAGAGACCAGTTCCCAGGCAGTGGCCCTGGCCGAAGGTTTCCTCCTGAGTCAGGCAGAGGAGAGGAAGCAGGCAGAGAGAAAGCAGGTGAGAGAGACTTTCCTCTGGATACTCCCAAGGGGCTCCAAACAGGATGGAGAACATCCAAAAAATGGTCTGCTGATGGCCCATCCTTTTTCTGGGAATGAGATCTAACAGCCTTAAAGATTCTGTCTCTGTCATTCTCTTTCTAACATTTCTCACCATTCATTTACAGTTTTGAATCCTTGTTGTTCTTTCAGAAAAGGGATCATTATGGAGAAATGGACCTGGATTCCTGTGAGGCAGAGAGGCCTCCGTTGGACACCAGAGAGAGGACACTGGGTAAGGAGGAAGGTGGCTTTTCTCCATTTGGTCTTGTTCTGTTGGTTTTCCAACTCGTCTGAGGGTTCTTTTCATCTTGGTTTTTTTTTTTTTTTTTTGAGGGGTGGTGGTTGGGAACAAGGGTTCAGAGGAGGGGAGACGTATTTCTGCACACCTAACATGAAATGGGCACAAACCTTCAACTGCACTCAGCAGGTAAGGCTTTCTCAAAGCCCATCTGTAGTTAGAGATGTCCTGTTTCCCCTGTGAGAGAAGCAGGCACTCCTAGCATCCTGCTTACCTTTTTTTCCTTTGCAGGTGAAAGAATGAAGCCAGCAAGACCTCCTGATCCATCTTTTCATGGGGGCAGAAGGGAAGCAGTGGCTGTGGAACCAGATCAGGTATGGGGAAGCTGCCTTGTGGGGTCAGAGGCCGAGGGATGGAGCAATGTCATGGACTGGTTGGGCACAGAGGAATGGTGGGAGGAAGCAGCCAGGGAACCAGGAAGGGAATATTGCTCTGAGCCCAAAGAGTGAAGGTGGAGGAAGGATTGGCTGTCAGAGGGAGAAGCCTGGGAAGAGGAGGTGTCAGAAGCTGAAGGGGTAACAGGGCTTAGTGAGCTGGGAGACTCTGTGGCAGAATGCAGTGCAGAATCAGAGGCAGAAGAAGAAGGAGGCGAGTGGGAGAGGAAGATCGAGAGGCAGAGGTGAGTCAGGAGAAGGGGGAGCCACCGGGTGCTCCCTCTCCTTCTGCCAGAATCCACCCTCCCTGCTTGTCTCTCAGAGCCAAGAGAGGTCTAACATGGAGGAGTAAAGGCAGGCTGCACACTGGCACACTGTTCAATCGCTTGCCAGAAACCCCAGAGAGGAGGGGACTTGGAAAGCTGTGGGGAGCCGGGGGCCTTCACTCTCAGCAACTGCTTTTGTGGAGGAAGAGGCTCAGGGAATGAGCTGCTGTTTTCATGAAGCCCGAAACTCAGCCAAGTATGTGAACATCGTGCTCTTGCTGATAAAGAGTAAACTCCAGCTGTGAACTGTGGGATTTCCTGCCCAGATAACTCTGTCATACCAGCCTTCTGAATGTTGCCAGTAGGATTCATCTGTAGTTGCAGTTTTCATGGAATCCTAGAGTTGAAAGGGACCCCAAGGGTCATCAAGTCCAACCCCCTGCATTGCAGGAGTCTCTACTCGATAATCCAAGACAGATGGCCATCCAGTCTTACCGAGGAAGCAGGCTTAGTCGTTGTTTGAGGACTATCCCTGCCTCCAGGTCTGGTCCTGACCGGAAGGATACTGGAATCAACAAGGGAAACCCACATGACCTGAAAGTGTTGCTGTGCAATGCCAGGTCAATGATGAATAAATCCTCTGCCATCCACGACCTGAGTGTGGATGGAGGATTTGACCTGGCATGTGTGACAGAGACCTGGTTGGATGGAAGCAGATGGGCCCGTCCTTGCCGCTGCTTGTCCACCAGGTTTCTCTTACGCACAACAACCCAGGCCTTGTGGGCGGGGAGGGGGGGTTGCAGTGATTTTTAGGAAGTCATTAGTTTGCACCAGGCGTCCTATTGGAAAGACCCAGTTCTCTGAGTGCATGTTCTGGAAGTTGGGCAATAGGGGCAGTACAGGATTCCTGTTGGTGGACAGACCTCACCGCTGCACCAAGGATTCCCTGCCCGAGCTGCTTCCAGGTCGTGGCGGATGTCCTCCTGGAGACACCTAGTTTGGTTGTCCTAGGGGACTTTAACATCCATGCCGACACGACCTTACAAGGGGCCGCTCGGGACTTCGTGGAAAGCATGGCCTCCATGGGGCTGTCCCTGAATAAGTCTGGCCCAACTCATAGCCACGGGCATGCCTTAGACCTGGTGTTCACCTCTATGGATGTTGGTGATCTGACATTAAGTAAAAGCGATACCAATGACGTGCCAGGGTCAGATCACTTCCTGGTGCAACGGGACTTCTCCGTGACCCTTCCCCTCGGCAGGGAGGCGGGACCGATTCAGATGGTCCGCCCCGCCACTTAATGGATCCAAATGGTTTCCAGAGAGTGGTAGGGGATGTTTTATCCCATGTTGATGGCCTTTCAGCTGATTCCCTGGTGGCCCGCTGGAATGTGGAGTTAACCAGGGCTATTGACTGTTTGGCTCCAAAGCGCCCTCTCCGATTGCATGGAGTCCGGACAGCCCCGTGGTTTTCCACGGATCTGAGGGCAATGAAACAATCGTTGAGACGGCTAGAGCGCCGGTGGCGGATAACCCATTCTGAATCTGACCGGACACGGGTTAGAGCTCAATGTCGAGCCTACCAAGTGGCGATAGCGACGGCGAAGAAGACTTTCTTCACCGCCTCTATTGCATCTGCGGAAAACAGCAGCAGGAGACTCTGGCAGGTGGTTCGCAGGTTCGCGGAACCACCTGCTCCATCAGGGCCCAGTAGCGGCCACATGATCTCCTGCAATGACTTTGCAAAGTTTTTGCAGATAAAGGCGCACAGATTCGAGAAGAGGTAGACTCCACCGTGGGAGCAGGGCCGGGGCGGGAGAGTGCTAGAGTCCTGTCTAGTCTAGTTGTGTGGGATCAATTCCAATCTGTTACCCCGAGGATGTGGACAGGCTGCTTGGACGAGTGAAACCAACCACTTGCCTCCTTGATCCTTGCCCATCCTGGCTTATAAAAGCTAGCCGGGAAGGACTGGGCGATGGGCTTCGTGGGGTGGTGAATGCTTCCCTCCGTGAGGGAGCCTTCCCAGACCCGCTGAAAGAGGCGGTTATTAAACCGCTTCTGAAAAATCCGTCTTTAGATGCGGCCACGATAGCCAACTATCGCCCAGTCTCAAATCTTCCATTCTTGGGCAAGGTGATTGAGCGAGTGGTTGCTGAACAACTCCAGGCACGCCTGGAAGAAGCGGACCATTTGGATCCCTTCCAGTCGGGATTCAGGCCTCATCATGGGACTGAAACTGCCTTGGTCGCACTGGTTGATGATCTCCGGCGGGCTAGGGACAAAGGTGAGAGCTGTTTCCTAGTTCTGCTGGATCTCTCAGCGGCGTTTGATACCATCGACCATAACATCCTTCTGGACCGTCTTGAGGGCTGGGAGCTGGGGGCACTGTTATACAGTGGTTCCGCTCCTTCCTCCTGGGCCGTGTTCAGAAAGTGGTGGTGGGGGATGAGTGTTCAGACCCCTGGGCCCTCACTTGTGGGGTGCCTCAGGGTTCTGTCCTCTCCCCCATGCTTTTCAACATCTACATGAAGCCGCTGGGAGAGATCATCAGGGATTTGGGCTGGGTGTTCATCAGTATGCAGATGATACCCAGCTCTACCTCTCTTTCAAATCAGAACCAGTGAAGGCAGTGAAGGTCCTGTGTGAGTGCCTGGAGGCGGTTGGAGGTTGGATGGCGGCTAACAGATTGAGGTTGAATCCTGACAAGACAGAAGTACTGTTTTTGGGGACAGGAGGCGGGCAGGTGTGGAGGATTCCCTGGTCCTGAATGGGGTAACTGTGCCCCTGAAGGACCAGGTGCGCAGCCTGGGAGTCATTTTGGACTCACAGCTGTCCATGGAGGCACAGGTCAAATCTGTGTCCAGGGCAGCTGTTTACCAGCTCCATCTGGTACGCAGGCTGAGACCCTATCTGCCTGCGGACTGCCTCGCCAGAGTGGTGCATGCTCTGGTTATCTCCCGCTTGGATTACTGCAATGCGCTCTACGTGGGGCTACCTTTGAAGGTGACCCGGAAGCTACAACTAATCCAGAACGCGGCAGCTAGACTGGTGACTGGGAGCGGCCGCAGAGACCACATAACACCGGTCTTGAAAGACCTACATTGGCTCCCAGTACGTTTCCGAGCACAATTCAAAGTGTTGGTGCTGACCTTTAAAGCCCTAAACGGCCTTGGTCCAGTATATCTGAAGGAGCGTCTCCACCCCCATCGTTCTACCCGGACACTGAGGTCCAGCACTGAGGGCCTTCTGGCGGTTCCCTCACTGCGAGAAGCCAAGTTACAGGGAACCAGGCAGAGGGCCTTCTCGGTAGTGGCGCCTTCCCTGTGGAACACCCTCCCACCAGATGTCAAAGAGAACAACAACTACCAGGCTTTTAGAAGACATCTGAAGGCAGCCCTGTTTCGGGAAGCTTTAATGTTTGATGTATTATAGTATTTTAATATTCTTTTGGAAGCCGCCCAGAGTGGCCGGGGAAGCCCAGCCAGATGGGCGGGGTATAAATAATAAATTATTATTATTATTATTATTATTGTTTTATTTCTGTATTCATCAATGAATGCTAAAATAGGCTTCTTCTTCTTTAAAAAAATGATATTTATTAGGAGTTTAAAAAATTACAGAAAATAGAAAAAAAGAAAACAATAAAAAAAATTAACAGAACATACCTTACAATACATAAAAAGAAAAACATAGAAAAACAATACAGCAAAACAGCAAAAAGAAACAAAAACACTAAAACACACATCCAATGTTCCATATCTTTACCTTTCATTTACTTGTTTCATCGGCCTCCTCACACCTCCCTTTTTTGTATTCTAGTTCAATTACCTATTTCAGCACATTCTTTCCATCTTTCTCAATTTTTGTTCTATATTTTATCTTAACAGTCTAACCTTAAATTTTTTCATTTTGGCCCATTATCAATCAGTTTTTACTTAATTCTTTATTACAATTCTGCTAAAACCAAATACCTTCATTCCAGCATCCTTCTAACATTCATTAATTTTGCTATATTTTTGTAAATATACTTTAAATTTTTTCCAATCTTCTTCCACCGACTCTTCTCCCTGGTCTCGGATTCTGCCAGTCATTTCCGCCAGTTCCATGTAGTCCATCAGCTTCATCTGCCTTTCTTCCCTGGTGGGAAGAGCTTTTTTTCATTTGCCAAGCCAACAGCTTTCCGCACTTATTTGCCGATTCAAATGTCTTTTGTCTCATCTGTTTAATCTTCCATTGTATTTCCTGATTCATCATTTTCATATATTGTACTTGATATAACTTTATCTCTTTCAAAATCTCCTGCGACCTTGGTTTCACCCTTAATTTCTCCTCTCCTTCCTTTATCTTTTCCAGGATTTTGTCTTTTTTCTCATTTTGCATTCTCTTCTTAATTGCATTCTGTTGTATCAAAAAACCTCTCATGACCGCTTTGCTTGCATCCCAGATTACTCTTCTTTACACAGCTAAAATAGGCTTCTAAGCAGCGGACAGACGATAACAAATAATGTCCAGGATTCACCTAGCCAGCCCCATCCGCTGCAAAATGGGGCCTGCCCCCCACTCCTCCCCCTCTCCATGCCCCCATGAACCCCTTGAATTCGGCTCTAGGGCATTGTGAGGGAACCTCCCCAGAACAACTCACGAGGAGAGGAGGAAGTGGATCCTTCCATCGGGGAAACTGGAATGCTTGTGTAGGCAGAATAACCTAAACATAAGCTGGAGTACCACCCATTTGCAAAAAGACGAATACCCACACTTAAAATGCAGAATAAAAGATTCAATTAAAGCATTAAAATAGGTACACATAATAAAAATGTGCAGCAAAGCAGTCCTATTGAAATAACACAGCAATTAACAGGAAGGAAATAACAGAGCATTGTGTAGCAGATCATATTTCTGCTGTCTCAGAGGAGGACATTTCCCTTTTTCTTTTAGGGTCCAGTGTGCTTTGAAGATGTCGCTGTTCGTTTCACGGACGAGGAGTGGGAGTTGCTGGATCCTGACCAGAGAACTCTGCATAAGGACGTCATGGAGGAGAATTGGGGGATCGTGGCCTCTCTTGGTAAGCCTCCGTGTGGGATCGTCCTATCTGCCAGGAAATTCAAAAAATACCTCTATGTGACAAACCTCATATATTTTCTCAGCGCCCCCTACGACACCTGGGAACCTTACACCCCCACAAGAAATAGTAAATTACAGTTTTTTCTGTGAACAATCTTCCTCCAATTCTGCCTCCTTCTACCACAGTTAGGCTGATCTGAACTGCCCAGGCATCTTAAATGTCAGCTTCAGAGTTGTTCAGAAAGATAAGTAGCTTCTGTCAGGTTTTCTGTTTTTCTTTTTGCTGCTGTCAGTCTTGGGTTGACCAAAGAGACGACTGACACTGGAGATGGAGGGGATGCCATGACTGGGCCAAACAAAAGAGCCAGGCTGAATGAATCTCAGGTAGTACTAGCAGTGATAATAATAGTAATAATAATAATTTTTATGTATACCCTGACCATCTGGTGGGGTTGCCCCAGCAAATCTGGGAAGCTTCCAAAACATATACAGTCGTATTTCTGGTTGCGAATGGGATCCGTTCCGGAGATCCGGCCAGATCCCGAGGTTTTGCAACCCAAGGATCACTGCGCATGGATTTGTCGCTTTCATAAGCTGATGTTTATATAATCCGAGGGTTACGTAACCCGAGGTGCTACTGTATAAACATGAAACAGTAATAATAACAACAATATAATCCAATGAAAAAAGTACAAAAATTTTACAAAAAGTACAAAATTTATAAAATGAGTAACTTACTTCAAACAAAGCAACATTCAACCAAAGATTAGAATCCAATAATAAATACATTGGTTTATTACAAATAACAAAGCTAATGAACACTGCCTTCTCTACCACAAATTTAATGAGCATTATTCCCTAACTGGGGGCTCCATTTGTTCCTGAGACTCTAATCCCTTTTTCTCTCCATTGCAGATTGTGATGAATTTGAAATCAAGAACAAAGGTGACCACAACACAATCTGCAGAGTGGAGAAGGCACGTAAAAATTTGGAATGTGGAAAGAGCTGCAGTCAGAGCTCCCATTCCAGTTCCCATCAACGAAATCTCATTGGAAAGAAACCCTATCAGTGCATTGAATGTGGAAAGAGCTTCAGTACGAGCTCCTCTCTCATTTCCCATCAAAGAATTCATACAGGGGAGAAACCCTATCAGTGTGTGGAATGTGGAAAGAGCTTCAGTCAGAGCTCGTCTCTCACTTCCCATCAAAGAATTCATACAGGGGAGAAACCCTATCAGTGTGTGGAATGTGGAAAGAGCTTCAGTATGAGCTCCCATCTCACTTCCCATCAAAGAATTCATACAGGGGAGAAACCCTATCAGTGTGTGGAATGTGGAAAGAGCTTCAGTCACAGCCAAAGTCTCACTTCCCATCACAGAATTCATACTGGGGAGAAACCGTATCAGTGTGTGGAATGTGGAAAGAGCTTCAGTAGCAGCTACAATCTCACTAAACATCAAAAAATTCATACAGGGGAGAAACCCTATCAGTGTATGGAATGTGGAAAGAGCTTCAGTATGAGCTACAATCTCACTTCCCATCAAATAATTCATACAGGGGAGAAACCCTATCGGTGCATGGAATGTGGAAAGAGCTTCAGTAGAAGCGCCGATCTCACTTCCCATCAAAGAATTCATACAGGGGAGAAACCCTATCAGTGTGTGGAATGTGGAAAGAGCTTCAGTATGAGCTCCGATCTCACTAAACATCAAAGAATTCATACAGGAGAGAAACCCTATCGGTGCATGGAATGTGGAAAGAGCTTCAGTATGAGCTCCCATCTCACTTCCCATCAAAGAATTCATACAGGGAGAAACCCTATCAGTGCATGGAATGTGGAAAAAGCTTCAGTATGAGCTCCAGTCTCACTTCCCATCAGATAATTCATACTGGGGAGAAACCCTATCAGTGTGTGGAATGTGGAAAGAGCTTCAGTAGAAGCTCTGATCTCACTAAACATCAAAGAATTCATACAGGGAGAAACCCTATCAGTGTGTGGAATGTGGAAAGAGCTTCACTGATAGATCCCATCTCACTTCCCATCAAAGAATTCATACAGGGGAGAAACCCTATCAGTGTGTGGAATGTGGAAAGAGCTTCAGTATGAGCTCCCATGTCACTTCCCATCAAAGAATTCATACAGGGGAGAAACCCTATCAGTGTGTGGAATGTGGAAAGAGCTTCAGTAGCAGTTCCTCTCTCACTAAGCATCAAAGAATTCATACAGGGGGGAAACCCTATCAGTGCATTGAATGTGGAAAGAGCTTCAGTAGCAGCTCCGATCTCACTAAACATCAAAGAATTCATACAGGGGAGAAACCCTATCAGTGTGTGGAATGTGGAAAGAGCTTCAGTCAGAGCTACAATCTCACTTCCCATCAAAGAATTCATACAGGGGAGAAACCCTATCAGTGTGTGGAATGTGGAAAGAGCTTCAGTATGAGCTTCAATCTCACTTCACATCAAAGAATTCATACAGGGGAGAAACCCTATCAGTGTGGGGAATGTGGAAAGAGCTTCAATCAAAAGTCCAGTCTCACTTACCATCAAAGAATTCATACAGGGGAGAATCACGGAATTGTAGAATTTTGAGCTTGAAGTGATCCCTGGTGCAATCTATTTCACCCCTTGTGATGCTGGCATAGCAAGTAAAACATCCATGACATGACCATCCAACTTCATTTGAAAACCTCAAAGAATGGAAATTCCAGCACTCCCAAGGGAGTCCAATCCACTAATAGCTCTTGCTGTCAAAAAGTTCTTCCGCATGTTTAGTCAGTCTTTTTTAAAAAAAGACTTGAAGGCATTGGTATGTGTCCAACCCTGTGGAGCAGGCGTCCTATTGGGAAGACCCAGTTCTCTGAGTGCATGTTCTGGAAGTTGGGCAATAGGGGCAGTACAGGATTCCTTTTGGTGTACCGACCTCTGCACTGCACCAAGGATTCCCTGCCTGAGCTGCTCCAGGTCGTGGCAGATGTTCTCCTGGAGACATTTAGTTTGGTTTTCCTAGGGGATTTTAACATCCACGCCGACATGACCTTACAAGGAGCCGCTTGGGACTTTGTGGAAAGCATGGCCTCCATGGCGCTGTCCCTGAATATGTTTGGCCCAACTCATAGCCATGGACATGCCTTAGACCTGGTGTTCACCTCTATGGATGTTGGTGATCTGACACTAAGTAAAAGCGAAACTAAAGAAGTGCCATGGTCAGATCACTTCCTGGTGCAACTGGACTTCTCCGTGAACCTTCCCCTCTTCAGGGAGGTGGGACCAATTCAGATGGTCCGCTCCTTAATGGATCAAAATGGTTTCCAGAGAGCAGTAGGGATGTTTTATCCCATGTTGATGGCCTTTCAGCTGATTCCTGGTGGCCCTGAAATGTGGAGTTAACCAGGGCTATTGACTGTTTGGCTCCGAAGCGCCCTTTCTGATTGCATGGATCCCGGACAGCCCCGTGGTTTTCTTCAGAGCTGAGGGTGATGAAACAATCGCTGAGACTGCTAGAGCGCCGGTGGCGGATAACCCATTCTGAAGCTGACCGGATACGGGTTAGAGCTCAATGTCGAGCCTACCAAGTGGTGATAGCGACGGCCAAAAGACTTTCTTCACTGCCTCTATTACATCTGCAGGGGAAAACAGCAGGAGACTCTTTCAGGTGGTTTACAATTTAGCAGTACCACCTGCTCCATTAGGGCCCAGTACAGGCCACATGATCTCCTGCAATGATTTTGCAAAGTTTTTTGCAGACAAAGTCACTCAGATTCGAGAAGACGTAGACTCCACCATGGGAGCAGGGCGGGAGAGTGCTAGAGTCCTGTCTAGTCAAGTTGTGTGGGATCAATTCCAATCTGTTACCCCGAGGATGTGGACAGGCTGCTTGGAAGAATGAAACCAACCACTTGTCTCCTTGATCCTTGTCCATCCTGGCTTATAAAAGCTAGCCGAGAAGGGCTGGGCGATGGGCTTTGTGGGGTGGTGAATGCTTCCCTCCGTGAGGGAGCCTTCCCGGACCCATCTTTAGATGTGGCCACGATGGCCAACTATCGCCCAGTCTCATATCCTCCATTCTTGGGCAAGGTGATTGAGCGAGTGGTTGCTGAACAACTCCAGGCACGCCTGGAGGAAGCGGACAATTTGGATCCCTTCCAGACAGGATTCAGGCCTCAACATGGGACTTGAAACTACCTTGGTCGCACTGGTTGATCTCTGGCGGGCTAGGGACAAAGGTGAGAGCTGTTTCCTAGTTCTGCTGGATCTCTCAGCGGCGTTTGATACCATCGACCATAACATCCTTCTTTACCGTCTTGAGGGGCTGGAAGCTGGGGGCACTGTCATACAGTGGTTCCGCTCCTTCCCCCTGGGCTTTGTTCAGAAAGTGGGGGGGGGGATGAGTGTTCAGAACCCTGGGCTCTCACTTGTGGGGTGCCTCAGGGATCCATCCTCTCCCCCATATTTTCAACATCTACATGCAGCTGCTGGGAGAGATCATCAGGGGGTTTGGACTTGGTGTTCATCAGTATGCGGATGATACCCAGCTCTACCTCTCTTTCAAATCAGAACCAGTGAAGGCGGTGAAGGTCTTGTGTGAGTGTCTGGAGGTGGTTGGAGGATGGATGGCAGCTAACAGATTGAGGTTGAATCCTGACAAGACAGAAGTACTGTTTTGGGGGACAGGAGGGGGCAGGTATGGAGGACTCCCTGGTCCTGAATGGGGTAACTGTGCCCCTGAAGGACCAGGTGCGCACCCTGGGAGTCATTTTGGACTCACAGCGGTCCATGGAGGCACAGGTCAAATCTGTGTCCAGGGCAGCTGTTTCCCAGCTCCATCTGGTACGCAGGCTGAGACCCTATCTGCCTGCGGACCGCCTCGCCAGATTGGTGCATGCTCTGCTCATCTCCCACTTGGACTGCTGCAATGCGCTCTACATGGGGCTACCTTTGAAGTTCTACCCAGACACTGAGGTCCAGCACCGATGGCCTTCTGGAGGTTACGTCACTGTGAGAAGCTAAGTTACAGGGAACCAGCCAGACGGCCTTCTCGGTAGTGGCGCCCTCCCTGTGGAACACCCTCCCACCAGATGTCAAAGAGAACAACTACCAGACTTTTAGAAGACATCTGAAGGCAGCCCTGTTTAAGGAAGCTTTTAATTTTTGATGTATTAGTATTTTAATATTTTATTTGAAGCCGCCCAGAGTGGCTGGGGAAGCCCAGCCAGATGGGCGGGGTATAAATAATAAATAATACTAATAATTATCATTTTATTTTCTTTCTCCTGTAGTAACCTATGTTATCCATCATTTGAGAACCACGATATTGTTCTCCCTTTGCTCTTCTTTCATTTTTATCACAGTCTTTGAACTCTAATACTTTGAAGGAGTGAGGTTTTAATTTCATGAAGTGAGGCAGCTCATGCTCTATTAACAGTCGTAGCTGAGATAGGAAGACCATGTTGAGGGTCTGGAGAGAGTGTTCAGATGGGACTTAATCTGGAATAGAAGCTGTGGGAAGACTCTTCTTCTGGGGTCTCCTTCCATTTGGGAGGGAGAGATTTTCTAGGAAAAGGAGATTTCTGAGTCAGTAAAAGGACTCAGATGATCCCCTGGGTCTGGCATACAAAGGGAGGGAGAGATTTTCTAGGAAAGGAGATTTCTGTGTCAGTAAATAGGACTCAGAGGATCCCCTCGGTCTGGCATACAAAGGAAAATACCTCGGGAGAGGGACTGCTAAGAGAGAGGGGAACCAAGGATAAGTGGCCCCTCGCTCACTATTTCTGTGGTAGCAGAGTCTGTAACCTGAAGCGTATGTAACCTGGAAGCGTTTGTAACGCAAGGTACCACTGTAGTACCTTGTTTAATCCTGTGACATTTAGCTGAAGTAATAAGTTAACGTCTACCTGACAGAGGCCTTCCAGAATCTGATTCAGAGCCAAATTTGGAGACATATGTCACACAGACAATTTCAGAATGGCTGGGAGAAAGCAAAGATTGGTTGGATGGGCTTTCAGAGAGCTGTTTCAGAATTAAATTGCGTGAAAATTGAGAACGGAGGCAGCCAGGAGATGTTTGATTAACAGTAGTAACAAAAAGAGTGAAGGATGCAATCCTTCAGAACAGTTTTTGAAAAAAATCTTGTGGTTTCCGGACAGAAAGTAGATATCTTTAGAGAGATTCCACTGAAATTGAGACTTAGAAGAACCAAATATAGATATTTAACAATAGCACTCAGAAGAGCTGACATCAGATATAAATGGGAATTCCCAGAGGGCATTTCCTTTACATACACGAAAAGGAGATACAGGCTAATATCAGAATTTCAGAGAGTCCTTTGACAAATACAGGAGAGACTTAGATTCCAACTGCTGAAAGGCACATACGGTATTCTGTTAGAATGGGAGACGAAAGACGAAGAGGTGAAATCAGTTATGATTAAATGGGCACAAGATATGGGTCATAATATTATTGTGGAAGATTGGGAAAGGTTATGGAAAACCGATTTAAAATTCACAGAGTGTTCCTTGCTGAAAGAAAATTATATGAAGATGATGTATAGATGCTATATGACACCAGTGCAGTTAGGAAGAATTAACAAAACCAGCTCAAATATGTTTTGGAAGTGTAACGAAAGAGACAGGACTTTTTACTATATGTGGTGGGATTGTAATGAAATCAAAAAGTTTGGGGAAATGATATATAGTGAGTTGAAGAAAATGTTCCAATTAAAATTTGTTTAAAAACCTAAGGCATTTTTGTTAGGGATTGATGGAAAAATTGATGGATTACGCAGAATTGGCAAAATTGAGACACAAACTACGTGACAAGGATAACTGTGATTTTAAAGATGAATGGGAACCCTTTACAAAGTACATAAAGAAGCAACAAAATGAACTGGACTCCTTGGCAGGTTTTGAATAAACTTTTACAAACTTTTTATTGATAACATTTAGATAGAAAATTAAAAATCTGTACAGTATTGTAACATGCAGAAAATAACATATGTTGATTATCCAGAGAGGGGAGCTGAGGGAAGGCTGAGGGGAGGGGAGGGTGGGTCAGGTTTTTGGAGAGGGAAAAATAAGGGGGGAAATTTAAGGATGATATGTTATTTGATAAAATGTTATGTTGAAATTACTAATAAAAATATTTTTAATAAACATTTTGAAAGTGTTTGTGTGTGTTTTTACAATCAAGCAGTCTATACATTTAATGAAAATTACAATACATTATAACATCATATAACATAAGCAGGAGTTATAAAAAAATTAATTAAATTGCGCACTGTCTTTCAGGTTGTGTCTTCCTGGAGTTCCACAGCTCTGCTGGGTGGAGAGGAAACGGTCTCTCCTCCTTCATCTCAGCTCCACAGCAGTTCTCTCAAAAAGACTTGGCACTCCAGAATGCGGAACTTATAGCCCTTTATAACATGAAAACACAATCAAACAAGGAACTTATAGTGCTGCGGAAGTAGTAGTAGTAGTAGTAGTAGTAGTAGTATTTATTTAGTAGTAGTAGTATCTGAGGTCCCCCCAGGGCACCTGCTCAGCTGAGAGGAAGGTGTCATAGCACAGGTAGCAAATCAGCTGCTGCTCTGTCCCTTGAGGGATTCCCCGCCTCACTTAATTGGCCAAATATTCCAAAAGGGCATCACCCGCTACTATATAAACCCTCTCACCCCCGGCAGCAGCAATGAGGTGGTACAGCGTTCAGGTGCTAAGAGTGTGTCCCTGCTTTGGCAGGGGCAACCCCCAGCAAAGTTTGGAGGATGAGCCAAGAGGTATAGCCGGACATTGGAAGGCAAACTGTTGCAGGAATTTATGTATAGGTTGGGGGGGGGGTTGCCCCTGCAGCAGATATCATGCACATGCAGCCCACTACCAAAATCAGCACCATCACTTTTGTGACTTTTTTGATTGGTCCCAACAAAACACTTCATCACAGTTTCTTCCTATATTCTGCACTATACCAAATGTAAGAATTCACTGATAAAGGTATCTGTGTACTGGCTCACTGGGAAAACTTCAGAAATTCATATAGACATGTGAGCTCAGCTACTCAGCAGCCCCTCTGCTTCAGTGGTGATTTCTGGCATCCTGATACCTGAGTGCCGGACAGGTAGCAATTCCAGAAATAACAAACCCAGAGGGATTAGCAGCTGATAAAGTTTGGGGGCTCTGTTGTTCGGGGCTTCCATCTTGTTCCACCTGGTGTCAGGTGGGAGTCCTGCCACGACAGTCTTCAAGAGAGACCAAGCCAACTGGCGGCTGTTTTGCTCTGGTATTCCTGGCTGGTGTCCTTGTTTTTTGTCCAAGGGAACCCTCAGATTTCTCTATTAACAAAACGTACCCAAAGCTTTCAAAATGTGCACTTTCCCGCATTTTGCAGCTCAGCAATGTGTAGTCCCAGGAGAGGCAGGAACAGCTTGTCTTCCTGTTCCTCCCTCAGCTGAGACCTGCCTGGATGGAGACCTGAGAGCCACCTCTCAATATCTGGAGGGCTGACCCATGGAAGAGGGAGCCAGCTTGTTTTCTCCTGCCCTAGAGGGGAGCACCCAGAATAAGGGACCCAGAGGACCAGAAAGCAGTTTCTGCTGCCTAAACAGCAGGAAGAACATTCTGACGGGAAGAGCAGCAGAATCCCTTGGGAGATGGCGGACTCTCCTTCCTTGGAGGTTTTTAAGCAGAGGTTGGATGGTTTGGCTGAGATTCCTGCCTTGCAAGGGGTTGGAATAGATGACCCTTAGGGCTCCCTCCCATTCTAGGATGAGGTTCCTTGCTTCCTGCAAACCCCTTTTCCCTGCAACCTCTTCCTCCAGTTTCTGGCCAAGGGAGGGAGCGGATCACAGACCAACCAAGAGCGTCCCCTCAAAATGAGCATCTCTGGGATTCTGCAATGCAGGAGAGAAAAGGCAGAGAGGACTGAGCAGGGTGGACTCGGCTTTGCAAGGGTTAAAGGGAACTGAGCTGCATTCCTAGAGAGGACAGGAAGTAAGGGGGGGCAGGTCCTCCAGAGGAAAATCCCTCCCTCCCCTTCCTGCAAACGGGGGCAGGGTTGCTTTCTGCTATTGCAAATCCTGCCTTGCTCTCTTCCACGGGGATCTGGTGAGTCTCTTCTTCCTCCCCCCCCCCCGAGGGTGCAGTGGGGAGAAGGTGGGGGTCCCAGGGCTGCAGCAGGGGAGGGTGGCTCATGTGGGGAGGGCAGACCCCGGGAGCAGGGGGTCCTGCCAGGGAGGGACGGGGTTGCGCGAGGTTTGCAACTACAGTACTGTATGTCCTGCATTTCTATACAGACGCCGCTTACTCCTTTGGGAAGGGCAATTCTCTCCTGGGATCTGGTGAGTCTCTTCCTCCTCCCCCCCCCCGGAGGGTGCAGTGGGGAGAAGGTGGGGGTCCCAGGGAGGCAAGTGAGGGTGGCTCATGGGGGGGGGGAGCCCCAGGGAGCAGGGGGTCCTGCCAGGGAGGGGCGAGGTGGCAGGAATTGTCTCCTTCCTTTAGATCTTTGGGGGGGGAGGGGAGGAGATTCCCGCCCCCCTTCCAGAAAAAAAATTATTCAGAGCCCCCTGGGAAATCTAGCAGATAGAAATCTAGCTTCTGTAAGGAAGCTTATCAGTACGACTTCTGCTGTGTGTGACACGGGTCAGCGTCATTGCACAACAGAGGAAACATGCATGAATGGTTGCTCCCAAACCTCTTCCTTTGTTTCTCTTCTTTCTTTCTGCTTCTACCGCCCCTTATTGGCAGAGGAGGCCAGCCAAGCAGATCAAGCCAAGCTTTATGAGGAGCTGGGTATGTTTAGTTGGAGAGGAGGAGACAGAGAGGAGATAGGAGAGCAATGTCACCTGGGGGGAGGATTCCAACCAATGGCTTCAAGCTACAAGAAAGGAGATTCGGACTCAACACACGTAGTCATTTTCACGAGGCACCAATGACTCCCTTGTCAATCAGTTCTGACTTCATGCATTGACTGGAAGGAAGGAGCAACCAGGCTGAGTCCCCTCCATTAATCTCTTCGCTTGCCTCCACATTTCCACAATCTCCCTTCTAGAGGCCTACATCTCCTCCTCCTCCTCCTTTTTAGAAAGATAGCTCAGAGTCTGGGCTGTGGTGCAATCCTACCCTGGTTCCCTCCAAGACTCATCCATGCTTGCTCAGGGAACCTTTTTCTTCTCCTGATATTGTACAACTTTCGTAACAGAACAATGTATTTTCTTTGTAAGATTTCCTAAAGCTTTTCACTACGACAGACAGAACTTGGCAGAAGACCAAAGGGTTCCTTCCGATCTCTCAGAGGCTTCCTGACAGCACAGATGGATGAGCGAGACACAGCTGGCCCTAGAGCAGGAAGAGGCCATGCCATCCAAACTGGTAGCAGTGGAGTATTCTGGGAAAACTCTGTGCAGAAGATCCTGGGTGAGGAGGACACCCACTCCTCAGAGGTTCAGAGCCAGCAGTTGAGGCAGTTCTGCTTCCAGGAGGCCAAGGGACCCCGAGAGGTTTGCAGCCGACTCTACCACCTGGACCGTCAGTGGCTGAAGCCAGAAAGGCACACGAAAGCTGAGATGCTGGACCTGGTGATCTTGGAGCAGTTCCTGGCTGTCCTTCCCCTGGAGATGGAGAGCTGGGTGAGGGACTGTGGAGCGGAGACCAGTTCCCAGGCGGTGGCCCTGGCCGAAAGTTTCCTCCTGAGTCAGGCAGAGGAGAGGAAGCAGGCAGAGAGAAAGCAGGTGAGAGGGACTTTCCTCTGGATACTCCCAAGGGGCTCCAAACAGGATGGAGAACATCCAAAAATGGTCTGCTGATGGCCCATCCTTTTTCGGGGAATGAGATCTAACATCCTTAAAGTATCTGTCTCTGTCATTCTCTTTCTAATATTTCTCACCTTTCATTTACTGTTTTGAATTCATATTGTTCTTTCAGAAAAGGGATCATTTTGCAGAAATGGACCTGGATTCCTGTGAGGCAGAGAGGCCTCCGTTGGACACCAGAGAGAGGCCACTGGGTAAGGAGGAAGGTGGTTTTTCTTTGTTTGGTCTCATTCTGATGGTTTTCAAACTCGTCTGAGGGTTCTTTTCATCTTGGTTTTTTTTTTTTTTTTTTTTTGAGGGGTGGTGGTTGGGAACAAGGGTTCAGAGGAGGGGAGACGTATTTCTGCACACCTAACATGAAATGGGCACAAACCTTCAACTGCACTCAGCAGGTAAGGCTTTCTCAAAGCCCATCTGTAGTTAGAGATGTCCTGTTTCCTCTGTGAGAGAAGCAGGCCCTCCTGGCATCCTGCTTACCTTTTTTTCTTTTGCAGGTGAAAGAATGAAGCCAGCAAGACCTCCTGATCCATCTTTTCATGGGGGCAGAAGGGAAGCAGTGGCTGTGGAACCAGATCAGGTATGGGGAAGCTATCCTGTGGGGTACAGAGGCCGAGGGATGGAGCAATGTCATGGACTGGTTGGGCACAGAGGAATGGTGGGAGGAAGCAGCCAGGGAACCAGGAAGGGAATATTGCTCTGAGCCCAAGGAGTGAAGGTGGAGGAAGGATTGGCGGTCAGAGGGGAAGCCTGGGAAGAGGAGGTGTCAGAAGTTGAAGGGGCAACAGGGCTTAGTGAGCTGGGAGACTCTGTGGCAGAATGCAGTGCAGAATCAGAGGCAGAAATGGAAGGAGGCGAGTGGGAGGAGGAAGGTTGAGAGGCAGAGGTGAGTCAGGAGAAGGGGGAGCCACTGGGGGCTCCCTCTCCTTCTGCCAGAAGCCACCCTCCCTGCTTGTCTCTCAGAGCCAAGAGAGGTCTAACATGGAGGAGCAAAGGCAGGCTGCACACTGGCACACTGTTCAATTGCTTGCCAGAAACCCCAGAGAGGAGGGGACTTGGAAAGCTGTGGGGAGCCGGGGTCTTCATTCTCAGCAACTGCTTTTGTGGAGGAAGAGGCTCAGGGAATGAGCTGCTGTTCTCAAGAGGCCTGAAACTCAGCCAAGTCTGTGAATCATAGAATCATAGAGTTGGAATAGACCACAAGGGCCATCGAGTCCAACCCCCTGCCAAGCAGGAAACACCATCAGAGCACTCCTGACATATGGTTGTCAAGCCTCTGCTTGAAGAAGGAGACTCCACCACACTCCTTGGCAGCAAATTCCACTGTCGAACAGCTCTTACTGTCAGGAAGTTCTTCCTAATGTTTAGGTGGAATCTTCTTTCTTGCAGTTTGGATCCATTGCTCCGTGTCCGCTTCTCTGGAGCAGCAGAAAACAACCTTTCTCCCTCCTCTATGTGACATCCTTTTATATATTTGAACATGGCTATCATATCACCCCTTAACCTCCTCTTCTCCAGGCTAAACATGCCCAGCTCCCTTAGCCGTTCCTCATAAGGCATCGTTTCCAGGCCTTTGACCATTTTGGTTGCCCTCCTCTGGACACGTTCCAGTTTGTCAGTGTCCTTCTTGAACTGTGGTGCCCAGAACTGGACACAGTACTCCAGGTGAGGTCTGATCAGAGCAGAATACAGTGGCACTATTACTTCCCTTGATCTAGATGCTATACTCCTATTGATGCAGCCCAGAGTTGCATTGGCTTTTAGCTGCCGCGTCACACTGTTGGCTCATGTCAAGTTTGTGGTCAACCAAGACTCCTAGATCCTTTTCACATGTACTGCTCTCAAGCCAGGTGTCCCCATCTTGTATTTGTGCTTCTCATTTTTTGGCCAAGTGCAATACTTTACATTTCTCCCTGTTAAAATTCATCTTGTTTGTTTTGGCCCAGTTCTCTAATCTGTCAAGGTCGTTTTGAAGTGTGATCCTGTCCTCTGGGGTGTTAGCCACCCTCCTAGTTTGGTGTCATCTGCAAATTTGATCAGGATGCCCTTGAGTCCATCATCCAAGTCGTTGATAAAGATGTTGAATAAGACCGGGCCCAAGACAGAACCCTGTGGCACTCCACTAGTCACTCTTCTCCAGGATGAAGAGGAACCATTGATGAGCACCCTTTGGGTTCGGTCAGTCAGCCAGTTACAAATCCACTGAGTGATAGCATAGTCAAGACCACATTTTACCAGCTTCTTTACAAGAATATCATGGGGCACCTTGTCAAATGCCTTGCTGAAATCAAGGTAGGTTACATCCACTGCGTTCCTTCATCTACCAGGCTTGTAATTCTGTCAAAAACGAGATCAGGTTAGTCTGACATGACTTATTTTTCAGAAATCCATGCTGACTATTGGTGATCACAGCATTCCTTTCTAGGTGCTCACAGACTGTTTGCTTAATGATCTGCTCCAGAATCTTCCCTGGTATTGATGTCAGACTGACTGGGCGGTAATTATTTGGGTCCTCTCTTTTCCCCTTTTTGAAAATAGGGACAACATTTGCCCTCCTCCAGTCTGCCGGGACTTCGCCTGTTCTCCAGGAATTCTCAAGGATGACTGCCAGTGGTTCTGAGATCACATCTGCCAGTTCTTTTAATACTCTTGGATGCAGTTCATCTGGCCCTGGAGACTTGAATACATCTAAACTAGCCAAGTATTCTTGTACTATCTCCTTAGTTATTCTGGGCTGTGTTTCCTCTGCTGAATCATTTGCTCCAAATTCTTCAGGTCGGGCATTGTTTTCTTTATCGGAGAAGACTGAGGCAAAGAAGGCATTGAGGAGTTCAGCCCTTTCTGTGTCCCCTGTTGCATTTCACCATCTTCTCCTCTGAGTGACCCCACTGTTTCTTTGTTCTTCCTTTACGCTACTGAACATACCCATAAAAGCCCTTTTTGTTGCTTTTAACCTCTCTAGCAAGCCTGAGTTCATTCTGTGCTTTAGCTTTTCTGACTTTGTGTCTACACGTGCTGGCTATTTGTTTGAATTCCTCTTTGGTGGTTTCCCCCCCTTTTCCATTTTTGTACACATCCTTTTTAATCTTAACTCAGTTAAAAGTTCTTTAGATAGCCACCCTGGCTTCTTTAGGCACCTTCCATGTTTCTGTCTCATTGGTATTGCCTGAAGTTGTGCTTTTACTATCTCCCTCTTAACAAACTCCCAGCCATCATGAACTCCCTTTCCTTTTAGTATTACTGTCCATGGGATCTCACCCAGCACTTCCCTAAGTTTTATGAAGTCAGCTTTCTTAAAGTCAAGAAATTGAGTCCTAGTATGCTTGGCTGCTCCTTTCCGCTGTATAGTAAACTTCAGAAGAGCATGATCACTCGCGCCTAATGATCCTTCCACTTCAACCCCACTAACCAGGTCATCAACATTGGTTAGGACCAGATCTAAAATGGCTGTTCCTCTTGTTGCTTCTCCCACTTTCTGGACAATGAAGTTGTCTGCAAGGCCAGTGAGGAATCTGTTTGACCTTATGCTCTTGGCTGAACA